ATATCTCTTGGTGACTCAGTAAGGCGCGGCAGACCTCTAAGCGTCTCCATCTCCAGCATGGCTATTGACTCTGGTCTTCCAAATCTTGACTCCAAAGTCTTCATTACTTCAGCCGGGTGTGCGTTGGTCATAAGTAGGCCTTCAACTGCTTCCTTGGCCTTCCCTTTCAAGTTTCTTCTGAGTCGATTCGTATTTTCAACTGCGCTAAATGTTGCTTCTGTCTCGTAGTAGGCGGCGCGAAAGGGTAGCCATTCCTGATGAGACCCACTGAAGAATGGTAACTCTACGAACTTAGGTCGTTGGGCGGCGTTGACAGCCCGAGTGATGGCTTCAGCTAGGAGGGCTACGTCAGTTTGACCTCCCGCCGGTGACTGATGTGTTTCTTCAAGCTTTTTCTGACTTGGTTCTTCTGCGTGGGCGGTTGTTGGTTCTTCTATGGCATGGTGAGGTTCGTTGGTGATTGCTAACACCGGGCGATTCACTTGATTTTCCAACCAGTCGTCCACTCTTGCATTGACTTCTGAGTAGAGGGAGGCGTCATCTTCTTCTTCCTCCTCCTCTTCTGAGTCTTCCCTTTCCAAGGCAGCAAGACGTGCTGCGGCTAATTCCACTTGAAGGCGTAGCAAATCTTCTTTCGCCTTTGCAAGCTTGAGCTGCTTCGTTCTACTGTGTGTAGATCCCCCCCCTCCTCCCTTCTTGCTGGGCAGGCGGGGTTCCTGTAATGCGGTTTGCTTCGATGGACCGGCGGTGCTTCTTATGGCTCGCTTCACTGTATCAGTTTCTGTTTCTCGGCGAGTTGCTCTGGTGACAGTAGCGGGCGGCTTCATCAGCTGTTTGGCCTTCGCACCCGCAGTTAGCGTTGTCGCCGCGGATGGAGTTACGGAAGGAGCGACGGTGCTGGCGGGGTGCGCGGCGGGGGTGGCGGTTGCGGCTGAGGTGGCGGCGGACGAAGTGGTTGCTGCGGTGGCGGAAGTCACGGTGGATGGATCAGTTGCCGCGGAGGTGTCTGTATACTCCGAAGTCTCCGTGGCGGTCGTCCCTGTAGCTGTCGATTCCGTACTGGCTTCCGCACTGATGGTACCGGTCACCGAGGTGGTAGCCTTGGACGACGGCGGCTTGCTGCCCCTTCCCTCGGAACGCGTAACGGCCATACTGTTAGCTGACTTTTTCATCGAATAACGATTTCCGAGAAGTCTTCAGGTAATTATTTTCCACAATATCCGGCTCGAAGGACCATTAAATGTGCCCTACAAGCACATTTGTGTGCTGGGTTGGTGGAGAATAAAACACTGACACTTTTTTCTTTCTTCTATATTTGATGTTTTTCTTGAGAGAGCTGGCCGCCGACTGTGTCGAACGACGAAAATCGCCCCTCTTTTATACTACCTCGGCCGGGTCGAGTAGTACGGCGTGCGTACCGTGTGACGGCGTCGACCAATCAGCGCGAGGCGCTACAGAGCTGAGTTACATTGTTTACCTTAAGCTAGTTATATTATTATACAAAGTGAATTACTAATTCTAATACATGAATATAAGCTTTACACTATTAGTTTTCTTAATATAAAATGCTTATATCTTCTCTTATGTGTAACTTTAAACTATAATCACAACATAAACGCTTATATCCTATTTTATGTGTAACTTTAAACTATAGTCTTTATTAACACAATATAAACGCTTATATCCTATTTAAGTACAAACTCTAAACTACTATAATATAAAAATGTTCGTCTTATTTAGGTATAAGTCTATTTATTTTCACTTGTCCCGCACAATTTCGTAATTATATACGGGACATGCAACTTAGGTTTGTAGCACTGTGCCCAATTTTAGCGCAGAAAAGTCTGTAGTTATCTATCTTTATATTACAGTCTTTATTTATATTAATTATGAAGAAAGTACTCACTCCATATTAAGAGCTTGGTCGCCGAGCAAGAAGATATTCGTACATTGACCCATCATTGCTTGTCTGTTGCTCGTGCATAAAGAAATGATAATGGTGCCCATGCCAAAGTCTTCCCTTCCAAGCACACCAAGGCTGACTCATACAAAATATTATGCGATGATCGCCTTCATCAGATATTGTAAACCTTTTATCCGTAACAATAAGGCTTGTTCTTGTGGACGTGTTCTTTGGTTTTTCTTGACATTTTTATTCATTTTTAAACTTTATTTAAAACAATATTTTATATTAGGATGCGCTAATAATTATTTCTTATTATTTATTATTATTAACTCCGGTTAAATAATTTGATCGCCGTGTAGTGGCGATTAAGTATATCCACTACCCCATATCTTCCTGTGGGTGTCGTAAAAGGCGACAGAGGGAAACAGGTAGGAGATGGGCAGCAAAATTTTCCTCATAGCAACAACTGTACAAAAAACAAAAAAAAAAAAATAAAAAATTGCGGTTGCCAACCCGCTCGCTAAGCGTGGCAACTATGGCAAACAGCCCCCCATGAGAAACGACCTTCAGTCCCCGGCAGTCCCGCTATTCCTGGCTACAGTGGCGACCATGGTAACGGCGGGGCAGGGGGTGCTAAGAATCTCCGGTGGAGGTTCGGTTGCCACCTATGATGACTCGACCTGGTAACATATAACGCACGCACCCTGAGGACTGACGAGGAGATCTTGGAGCTGGAAGAAGAGATAGACAAATCGCGCTGGAATATTATAGGATTATCCGAGGTCCGAAGAGAGGGGGAGGACACGGTGATTCTCAAATCCAGTAACTTGTTCTATCACCGGGAGGGCGACCATCTGTCCCAAGGAGGCGTGGATTTATCGTCGACAAGTCTCTTGTTAACAACGTTGTAAAGATTGGAAGTGTGTCGACGAGGGTTGCGTACCTTATACTCAGAATCACCAAACGGTCGAAATCTCCCAAGAAGTTCTTATTGTGCCTCATCGGCATATTTTGAAGAAGTTTTTGTAGCAAAATATTCTATGATAATTTCTTATTATTTGACAGCTTGACACTGGTTTATGTACGGCCGTACAAGTCAATAACCAAAGAAAAAAAGATTCATTGAACATTTTTAATATGTATTCATTGAATTAACGTACGTAGTACGTATTACTTCAATGTATGTATCCTGTTATGGGGTCAACAACCATTGGCTTGATATATTTAAAAGTCCTGGCTTGTATACATAAACCAGTTTAAAACCTGATCAAGATGCATTTTTCTGTTTTATTTGTTCAAACATATTACTTATTATCAGAAGCGAATAATAGGACTACTTACGAACTGCTTTTTATTGCACTTGTAGTCTAAAGACAGAGATCACTTTAATAATTTTAATAATTTAATAATTTATTAAAAGAAAAACTTTAACTTGTAGTACATATAAAATCTTACGTGAGATAGCTATAAAAATTAAGTGAAAAAAATACTAGTGAGGGTGACGTTCTGTTCTCCTTGCTAGACTAAGAAATAGCCTGTATTAAGGAGAAAACTTTATCGGTCAAAAGTTGTTTGGTGTAAGTACTTCTTATTCTTAATATCATCTTCTTACAATATGTCATATGACGTTAAATTGATTGCGAAGTATCTGTTAGGAAAAACTGCTACCGTGATATACTATACATATGAACTTAGCGTTTAGTTAAACCGGCCATTTTAAACTGTAATGGTTAGGTATGATTTTATTTGGAATTCCAAATTCAAGTACCCTTTTTACTGCAAACATGGGGCAGGCATTCCATCTTAATCCTCAGGGCTGAAAACATCTGAATTGATTCTTAATCGAAGATAGATGTAGATATCTATGAGCCACAGTCCACAGCCCACAGCACCCACTGACCATCAGGGTGGACTGTAGGCTGATTTGTCACCCGTATTGTTTTTTTTTTATGTGCACGCCTATTTCTTGCAAATTTATAAATTTATAACACTAAAAAATCGTGCATATAACACTAAAAAACGTATTTATAATATAATAAAGCGGAAGAGTTTTATTGTTTATTTAACCGGCAGGAACTACCAGTCAAATTTAAAAAAATCTTTTTGTATATGATAGCTAGATTCATGAGGAATAGTATAAAGGTTATTTAGCTTTAGGCTATACCTCTCAGCTAGCCTTAAATATTGATTTTTGTTAAACAAATCGGAAGCAAAAGCGCTCCCAAACTGCTTTTTCCGCGTGCACTGGCGTAATGGCTAGTGACACGTAAGTACAAAGTTCTACCAAAATATTGCCAATTTTATGAAAAGTATTTACTTGATGTTTAAACAATTTTATGGAGATAACGCGCAAAGATTGGATGCATAGTTTAAGAGACATTGATTAAGACAGTTAATATAATTCAACACTCGGCTCGGCGCGCGAACGACCCATATTCTTAGCCGCCCGATGTGAACCGAGAGAACGAATACTTAAAATATATATATATATATATATATAAACAGTTCCGTGCTTTTATAACTGTGTTTATGTAATAATGCCTGTTGATTTTAAATATTTCCGCATTTGTGCGCTAATTTAAGATAAGAGAGCCAGAAAAGCCTTTAAATATAGCATTTCATTGTAGTCCTCAGAAGTGACAACGTATCCATATATCTCGGTCTTCCTTGTTTGAAATGGGCTGCATGTAAAAATGGCGTATAGTATTTGAATATAATTATAATATTAGAGCACCTTGCACGGTAGTTCTGACTGCTTAACTCGGTGGTAACAAATATATCACTTCGAATACTTACAAAACACTTCACTTAATCCTTTTCTATCATCGTAAGTTACCTGCTTTTTTTCGAATATTAGAATTGAGCGTGGTGAGTTTTATATAGGCATATAGTATACTAAACATAATTCGTATTGAGTCTATAATATATAATTATATAGATTTTTTATTCATATCGTTTTAGTGCATGATTCCACACAAGTCGATTTAGCTTTTCGTTAATATGGTTGACCTGGGGAGATTGTGATTAAGTACTCATTTTGTCAAGATGTAAACAAATAAGTGTAAATAAATAAATAAATGTTTGTCTCCCTTAGTTGGAGTGCTTATATTACGATTTGGGTCTACCTCATCGAGACGCTACCAACGATCAGGTGACTATTGACGCTGCCCACGCCATTCTCAAGCACAACGTCGGTATCAAGTGCGCCACCATTACACCAGACGAGCAAAGAGTTGAAGGTAATTTCTTAAATTATTTTTTAAAATAGAAATATATTATTAAATCAAATTACATCAGCTTAAATATGTAATATATAATACAGCCGTCTCTGCAGCTCGAGGCTTGAATCGCAGGAACAAAGAAAATTTAATGACACCGTTTATAGAGATATAGATTATATGGAGAGATAATTGAGTTATAGAGTTAGAGGAGCCCAGCTCAAGGTGTGCTTAAGTTGCTAGGGTGAGTGTGTATGTATGTGTGTAGTAGCGTGCGTGCGGGTGTGCGTGCGGGCGTGCGTGTGGAGGTGGGGCGTGGCGGCTGTGCGTGCGAGCGTGATTGCGGACATGAGTGTACACACATACGTTCAGCCCGCCCATGTTCCTCCCATGGCCCACTAAAACCCATGTGAGTTTTAGTGAACGGATGTGCAACGAAACGAAGTCTCCGTTTCCTGGTTAGAAGTATGAAGTGTGTAATTCATAACGCTTTTTTTTATAGAATAGGGGACAAACGAGCATACGGCTCACCTGATGTTAATTGACTACCGCAGCCCATGATCAACCGCAACACCAGGAGAATTGCAGGTGCGTTGCCGGCCCTTTAGAAAGGAGTAAGCTCTTTTCTTGAAGGTCCCCCCCAGGTCGTATCGATCCGGAAAAATCGCCGGTGGTAAATTATTCCACAGAGAGGTCGTACGCGGAAGAAAACTCCTAGTGAAACTTACAGTGGTGGACCGCCAAGCATCCAGGTGGTGTGGATGGTATCGGGAGGTTTGCCGCGTAGTGCGTTCATGAAATTTGGCGGCTGGGATTAATCCGAACAATTCCTCAGAGCACTCCCCCGTGATAGATGCGATAAAATACGCAAAGAGATGCAACATCTCTTCGCAGCGCCAGTGAATCGAGCCGATCGGAAAGCACTCGGTCGTCGACGATTCGAGCCGCTCTGCGCTGGATGCGGTCATGTGGAAGGAGCTGGTACTGGGTACCCCCAGCCCAGAGATGGGAACAGTATTCCATGTGCGGCCAAACCTGCACCTTGTAAAGTTGCAGGCGGTGTGCCAGCATGAAATACTGTCCCGCTCTGCTGAGCACGCCAAGCTTTTTAGAGGCCAATTTGGCCTTCTCTTCCAAGTGACCACGGAACTGCACGTAACTCGATATGTCGACGCCAAAGATTCCGATACTGGTTGCTGTTTTAATCCCTAATTTAATGAAATAATACCATAGTGAAAGTTGCGTGTGGCACGTGTGGTAGAAGAAGCACGAAAGTAGAATTAAAAGCTTTGAAATAATACTAGTTTTTACGGAATTTATCGCGTATATTTAACTTTTTAATTACCCGACGTTTCGAGAGCTTTACAGCACCCATGGTCACGGGAAGGACTGAGATGTTCAACGACCAGCTGTCATAGTTAACCGCGGTTACCATAGATTAAAATTTAACTTTTGTTCCGATCTACACAGTATGAACTTATGGTATCATGGAGTCTTGCAGTTGTATGCTTGGGTTGGGATTTAATTTTATTTATTATAGGATCCCAAGCAGATGGTAGCACCCAGCCATCTTCTCTATTGAAATTAGGATGTTTTTTGATTTCAATAGCCTCGCGAATCATCCTTGGAAGGAATCGGTCTTCTTTAGCGAGGATTTGTGGTCTATCAAATCTGATGTAGTGACGGGGGCGATCCTGTACATGTTCACTGATTCGCGAGGCTATTGAAATCAAAAAACATCCTAAAATGTGAACGGCAGAGTCGGAAAGGGACGCCCTAGGCGAAAGTGTATCAACCAAATTGGCGATATTTTGAAACTGGGCCACACTAGGAGTACGCTTAACCGACGAGCGTGAATGCGTAGATATATGGATGTAAAAGAAGGCGAGTGTCTGTATATGGATGTAAAAGAAGTGGTGTGTCAGGATCGTTCCAAATGGAAGTCCGTAGTCTCTGCCTACCCCTCTGGGTTACAGGCGTGAGTGTTTATGTTTATATTTTTATGTAAGTATGAAGCAACCAGGACGTAAATTTTTGCTTGACTTTGCTAGTGAACTAGGACCTCGAAGTACTCGAAACGCTACTTGAAGTCCTCTGTGTGCGTTACTATAGAGACGTGAAGTAGAAGTGTAATTGTCTTGATCTTCAAGAATGCTGACAATACTCATCGAAAAGATACAGATAGATTTCCCCTCTGGCCGCGTCAACAAAAACCAGAACAAAAAATCTATACACCTCCTGAGAAGTGTAAAACAGGGTAACGTTATGTCCTTGAAACTCTTGACCGCTGCGTTCGAAGATGTTTTCAAACAACAGGACTGGAAAGAATAGCTCTCAACTTATATAAGAACTGTTTTATTACTAAAAGGTTTTTGTTTGATATTTGAAGAAGACTGGTTGTTTCTTTCGTATGCTATTTGATAGATACGTACGTCAAAGTTTAGAAGTTTATTAGAAAATTATAGACAGATACGTCAAACAATGTTTGATGCATAAAAGTCTATTAAAAAAAAATTCATGAAAATAGATGTTTATGTTATAATACTTATATATCTTATTATTTTTTCCAAATTTATCCAAATATTGTGATTATTTGCAAAGAAAACACACAAAACTGCCAATCTCGCGAGATCTCGAAATTGGCGAGATCTCGCAGTATTGTTATTCATAACTTACAGGATCTCGCTTGAACCCCAATCTCGCGACATTTGCATTCCCTACTACTATTATTTTGCAAGAAATTTTTTAAGATATTTTTTAGAAAAATTTTTAGAGAGTATATTTGTGAAGACACCAAGCATGAGCAACATACGACACCAATCGGGTCAAATATCAAAGATATACGTGAAGAAAGCTAAAAAAATTAATACTAAAGTGGGTATATATGATTTATATCAGGATTACTTCAAAATTTTCAGCTAAAGTCAAAAGAGTCAAAAATTTTAAAGAGACACACTATACGTTGCGTTGGATAAGTTATTTTGGATTTTGATTCAAATAGAAGATGGTGTAAGTGTAAGATGGTGTAAGAAATTAATATCACCCTATTTCTATTCGTCGCGTCGTTTGTAAGCAGGAAATGCTAATAAGATTTCATGACTTTCAAAAGATATAACTATCTCGTTTACGTTTTTACCTTCTCGCTTACGATAGACTAGACGTTATCGGCGATGAGGCGAAATGTCAAAGGTGCGAGACGTATGGTATTGCGATAAAATCTGCCTGCTAAACGTGAAGGTTAGGCTTAAAGCAAGTGATCTCTATAGCGGGACAGGTCCATGTCTAGCAATGGACTTCAACGAACTGATGAAATATACACATTAATACATACACAGGTTTTGTCATGTAAAAAGAATGAATGAAGAAAGAGTGACAAAGCAAATCTACGTTGCAGATGTGAACGGCGGAGTCGGTAAGGGTCGCTCTATAAGAAAGTTTCTAAATTGGCGATATATTGAAAATAGGCCAGATAAAGATTTTAGGGTACTCCTAATCTGGCCGACGAGCGTGTATGCGTAGGTATATGGACGTAAAGGAGGCGGGAAAGATGTGTCAGGATTGTGCCAAATGGAAGTCCGTAGTCTCTGCCTAGACCTTTGGTTGACAGGCGTGAGTGTTTATGTATGTATGTTACATACACTTCTGACTAACATAATCTTTAAGAACCAATTTATCGCCTTTCTTTTAAAGACCATATATAGGGATGGTAAGCATGAATTTAAATGTGTGTATTTTATAGTTATTTAACGATTTTCTATGGACACTTTTTAATACACAGTCTGTACTCCTTACTTCTACACTCCATATCGTGGTGATTATTGTGAATTACTTTCTTCCTTTTTGATCATAAATAATACGCCATCTGGCCATAAATTAAGGACTAGTCGCCAGTCCTAAGCCTGGATAAAGTATGAAGGAGGATCGATTTATATACAACCTTATTACAGTACATAATAAATAACAATAAATATAACTATATAATATATAACAAAATAACCTAAGCACTTATATCATTCAACATTGTTGCCGCATAACGTTTCACTAAATCAGTCAATAATGAACGACCGCGACGCAACTTAATGTTTTCGTAACATTTATATCTTTTGAGTCGATGATCTAAATGAGACAAATGAAACATATCAGTGTTTCGGAACATTTCAGTGATCGAGATGCAAATAATCCAATCGCAAAAATGATAATTTGTCCACCTCTAGCGTAGATATATATGGATGTAAAGGAGGCGAGAGAGGTATGTCAGGGTCGTGCCAAATGGAAGTCCGTAGTCTCTGCCTAGACCTTTAGGTGACATACGTGAGTGTTTATGTATGTATGTTCCATACACTTCTGACTAACGTTGTCTTTAAGAACCAATTTATCGCCTGTTTCTTTTAAAGACCATATATAGGTATGATAAGCATGAATTTAAATGTGTGTATTTTATAGAGTTCAAGTTAAAGAAGATGTGGCTGAGTCCAAATGGAACGATCCGGAACATTCTCGGTGGTACGGTTTTCCGGGAGCCGATTTTATGCAAGAGCATTCCCCGTTTGGTGCCGACCTGGACCAAACCCATTGTCATCGGGCGTCATGCTCACGGCGATCAGTACAAAGCGCAAGATTTCGTTGTACCGAAACCAGGAAAGGTATATTTTTTCGTAGATAATATGTTAAATGAATATTTTTTTGGTTTCTGCTTTGTTAAATAAACTTACCTCCACTACCTTACCTTACGCCCGGATTTTTCTTGAATCGTGGTAGTTTACATACATAAATTCTGCAAGGACAAATATCCGGACCAACAAGATTCAAACCCCTGGCCCTCAACGCTGCAACTCATTGCAAAGCCTCTGCGTCACGGAGCCATCAAATCATCTCATTTATGTCAATAAATATCTATATATAATAAATCGAACTTGGTGTAGTTAATATGATAAATTATATTACACGACATAGCGGAATTACATACAGGAGTTTCGGCTTATTTTGTTGTACCTCAAAACGTGCTCAACAGCATCGTCCAGTAATTTCCATAAACCATTAAGAGGCCGTGCAGAAAATTTATTCGATAGAGTTTAGGCAAATTCATTCCGGTGCTATCTTTGTGTGCATCGTTTACGCATACACGGCTAAAGACCGAGCGCAGTGCTCGCTTAAACAATTTTGATCTTTTAGTTGATAATTATTTTAGAATACATAGTAAGTACGGTTTAGAAATAAAAGTCTGGGATGTTTTTGTATAATAGTTTAGTATATTTGTTACAATCAACATAAAATGAAAATAAAAAAGAAATGTGTTAGACAAATACACTATGCATATGTATTTAAGTAATTCAATGTTTTCGTTCTGCGATGTCATTAATGTCTGCTAGAGAGTACAGACAAATTTAACATGTCTTATTGGTATTTGCCCGAAAATCAAACATCGTGATTTCATTAAAACAAAGTTTTTGTAAATGCGAAACATTTAAATTTAAATATTAGGCCGTATATGAGAAACGGAATGTTTAAGGGATAAATAAAATACGGAGCACGAGTGCGTGACGTACACGTCAAGTAAATACTTTGATTTTAAAATTGATAATACTCGTTTCTTTTATAATATTTACACAATGTTTTGAATTTATTTTTATTCATGAACGTGTACCAAAATGTGTACAAAGTACACATTTTGGCAAAAATAAGCCGAACATCCTAAAGGATACTTGTATTTTCGATAAAACATTCGGCCTATTTCGTTTAAATCTATGTCCAATATCGGTTAAAATAAAAAATAATTATTGGATGGCACATCTATGGCCGCTTTAAACATTTATTTACAAAGAATGGCACGTTGATCTTTATAGGTTCGTCACCCTGCCATAGATCACAATTTAGGTATCTTAATTTTGACCCAATTCGATGCAGCCGCTGGTGGTATTTTTGCATAATTTCATGCGGACATAATGAAATGCAACAGTAGACAAAATCGTATTTTATTAATGGTATCTGAAATGGGTACTAATCATTAAAAAAACTATCAAAAATAAAATATCTATGAACATAGCAGACGTACTGAGACAGCAGCCGGGTCTAACTATTAGGTACTAAGAACCACCCAGGTGATCCCATACGAAGAAAGAAATCATCATCATTGGTGTAGCCGTTTAGGATAACAAGAATTACGAACACGCACACCTGAACTTTTTATATAAAGACTAGGCGTGCAACGTATTATTATTCTTAATAAACAAATTATCCAAAAAAAAAAATACTTACCCTGATCAAAATTTGGTGGTCGGCGTACAATTTCTGGAAATGTTTACGTAATCGCGCGGTCGATAATATGGTTCACTTTGCCATTTAGTAATAAACGAAATTATTATTTACTTATGAAATAAAATTTTGTTTCCAATAAAGGGTTATCTTAAGATTAATTTCTAATTTTTTAAATTAATTAAAAGTGTTTCTATGTAATAGAAAAAAATACTTATTTCGAACGAAGTTTTCTAGAAATTACGTTATTTTAACAATTTTTTTCTGCTATATTTGGATAGAAATTAAAAAAACTGATCTGGCTACAAATAAGTAGACCGTATACTTATGTTATTTATATTTTTTTAATGTTTGAAATATTTTGTAGTTTCGTTGTAAAACGTAGACAAAAATCTGTTGATCGTTACTTTTCGGAAAAAGGGTTGTGAATATTGGTGATTTGCCGTTATTATATAGATAATATGATACATTCCTTCAAGCCAGATATTAGATTAAGAACTAGACTATTATAATAAAAATAAAAAAAGTTAAAATTCGTTTTCCTGTTCACACAAACAGTGGGTGCGTTTGGCAGAAAAAAACGCTAGCAAGCGCTTATAAGCGCTGAAATAGTTTTCGGCTAGGACACGATTGCTACTTCAGTAGCGCTGACACAATCCGCCATTTTGCTTATTTAATTTGTTTGTTTTGAAGTAGAGTTTATAAGTTGTTTTGTGCAAGTTTTAAGTAATATAATGACATGAATAAAAATATACATTTTATTAAAAATTCATGATTGGTAAGTTTTTAATATGAATACTTTACAAACATATATTTAAATTAGGTTAGGTTCCCCCCGTTAAAACTAACATCCTGTCATGGAGGAAAATAGCTACTTACGATTTGACAGCGCTTATCGCTTACGATCGCCATTTTGTTTACAAGCGCTTGCTAGCGCTCTTTTCTGCCAACCGCACCCTGATCAGACTTGTCCGAAAAGAGTTGATTTCGCGTCGAAGGGTTCAACAGCGCTACGTTGACAGCTTATGATAATAAAATAAAATATTAAAGTTATTATTATTTTAGGAGTATTTAAGAATAAGATTATTAAACTATTAGCCGTGATTGGAACCCGAAGCTAATATGTATCAAAATAAATTTAATAAAAAAAGCGAATAAATTGGAAATTTTATAAAAACCGTTAATGAACTTTCTAGAGAGTAATTTAATTTAATGTGATATATTATGTATTATGAACAAATCTGATGGGTTTTAGATTATTATATCATTTTTTAAAGCTATATCTTTATTCAGGTTGAGTTAGTGTACACTACAAATGATGGAACAACTGAGAAACATTTACTGTATGACTTCAAATCTCCCGGTGTAGCACTGGGCATGTACAACACTGATGAATCAATACAAGCTTTTGCTCATGCTAGTTTTCAGGTAATTTTTTATTTTATGTGTATAGAAATATTTACTAACAATTTATCCTTTAAAATAACGCTATTGTATGGAACTTCATACTTGGATGTCTATATGTTATGGACAAAGTCATTAATTTGGCACTGTTCATAATGCCCGGGCAAAATGAATACTGAACAGGCAATGTGGTAAAAACTATTGAAATAATTAAATTGACCAGGCTTTCTGAAAAAAGCTCGTAACTTACTGGACAGAGTAATAAAAAGATGTGTCTATTCATACGATAATAATCGAACAATTATTTATTACTTATTCATATGATTGTCGTACTTATGATTTATTTACTTTTTATCGTCCAATGTATTTTAGTATTAAAAAAATATGTAAGATAAAGAGACATTTGAGTAAAATAAAATATAATAATATATATCTCGCAGTAAGACAGTTAAAGCCGTGATATATTTATAAATCTATATTATACGTAAGTGTAACTGTCAAATTATGCAGCTACAAAAAATGTTGTTTTTCTTTCTGCAAAATGATTTCACTAAAAAAAACTATTAAATTATTTAACTTTTAATTTACTCCGATTGATTACTATAGTAACCTTGGATATAATGTGTTTGTTGCAATGTAATATTTCCGACTATTAAAGGGTAATATAAAAATTAAGATTATAAAAATTATTCTACGTGGTAGAGCCATACTGCAGTTATGTAGTCGTAGCACGAATGGGTTGGCTCGACCGGGGAAGAACCACGCTCTCACAGAATACCAGCGTGAAATAGTAGCTTAATGTTGCTGTGTTTCGCATGGTGAGTGTAGAGAACCGGAGACCCTTTTTGCTGGAAACGAGGCATTCTATCTTAGTCCTCACGGATGACAACGCATCTGCATTTTGAATCACATACGAGGATAGATGTAGATGTCTATGGGCCACAGCAACCACTTACCATCAGGTGGACTGTGTGCTCGTTTGTCACCCTATCCTATAAAAAATAAGTCCTCGCCTTCGTTACCGTACGATGGCGCGGGCACAGCCATTTTACCATAAATGTAATGGTCTACTCGTATATCGTAATGAATAAATATTTCATCCTTTATACTTAAAATACCTACAGATATACGATATTTAACAATACATCTTTGTTTGAACAGGTGGCCTTGCAAAAGAAATGGCCTTTGTATCTTTCCACAAAGAATACTATCCTTAAGCGCTATGATGGTCGTTTCAAAGACATATTCGAAGAAATTTATGAGAGGTAAACGCCGGCCTTGTTTTATTTTTTACAATGAGTATAATTTAATACGATCGTTTTATTTAATCAAGCTGATACATACCTACCGTAAGTGACGCTATGCTAAGCAGTCATGTTGTCAATCATCCACTCGCAGCAATATTATGGTTGTAGCACGAACGGGTCGGCTCGACTGGGGAAGGACTACGTTGATACGCTCTAATAGCATACAAGTGCGAAAGAGCGTGCTGCTGTTTCGTGTGGTGAGTGTCTTTACACTGATGAACCACTGGACACGAAGCATTCCATCTTATAGTCCTCCGTGTGACACTGCATCTGCGTTTTGATTCTCTATCGAGGATAGTTGTTGATGTTTATAGGCCATAGTATCCACTTACCATCAGGTTGAATGTGTGCTCGTTTGTGACCCTAATTCTATTAAAAAAATACTTTTAAATTATCTCTTATCACCAGCAGTTTCTTCCTTTAGGAACTTCACTGCATTCTACAGCAAATGGCACAAATATTATTTAGTCATCTCTCAGAGAATCGTATTTATTATTTAGTACAGCGAAGTATTCGTTGGGTGAGAGTCAAAGTGTCGTCTACGCACGTGGCATCCCCCACTAGGGTTTTACCTCCCTCCCAAGGGATCAAAATTATACCATGTTATTTTAATTATATATATGCATATTGCGTTTTGCGATTCCATTGTATTGTCCAAATGGAATTGCAAAACACAATATGCTCTCCAAAAATATACATATATAGGTATTTTTGTTCTATCGGCCTCGATATTTGATGTTTATTTTTTTTAATTATTATTTTACAATCTACTTGAAGAAGTAAAATTTTTTCCTAGCATTTTTTTTTTGCTGTAACCATCGGACGTCTATCTGCTATAGCAAATTATATGTGCTTATACATAATTTAGTAGTGAAAATTTTCTTTACAATATTTGTTATGCAGTACATACAAGAAGCAGTTTGAGGACGCTAAGATTTGGTACGAGCATCGCCTGATTGATGACATGGTAGCGCAAGCGATCAAGAGCTCCGGTGGGTTCGTGTGGGCCTGCAAGAATTACGACGGCGACGTGCAGTCCGACGTAGTGGCACAGGTACTTTTACTGCAGCGAGAATTTTCATAATATAGCCTAGCTAATAGTAGCCTAATATAGTATTTGGTTTTATACAGGGGCAGTCACATGTTTTCGTCTTGACCAATATAATCAATACAGCCGTATCACAAAATTTGGAATCATTATTAAGTTACTATTACAAGAAACACAGAACTTAGATCTCCCCTTTAGATTGCTTTATAGGGGTGATATGTAGAGTTGCCACCTTTTTTTAAAGAAATGTATTATTATTCCCAAAAAATATGCAAAAATATAGTACTTTTGAAAAATTCAGGAGAAAAAGAAGGACACATTTATTTTTAATCATTATGTATTTTTCCATATATATTTGTTATTGCTCTTTGCTTTGGTCATCAATGATCTAACACCGTACCTTCTACCTTACCTTTAAAATAATTATAGAAGTCTGAGTGACTTAGATTCATATTAAAAAAAATTACGTTTAACTTGTACATAATTAAATTAATACGTGCTCTTTTTCTTTCTTCTTTCAATTTAAACGGAAAAATTCTTTCCGTAAAACTTACTTGTTTCAGACATCCAGTCACAGTACAATCCAAGCGAATTAGGGATAAAAATATAGCACTTTTCGCACTATATTATTTTTCTATAATATATAGTACAATTGACTGAAATATAGTACGATACCATATATTATAGTACGGGTGACCTATGATATGCCATAGCCGATATTTAATTATTTCTAAATGTTACCAGGAAAATGCGGTTGCCCATCTCCTGTTTCATTTTCCTCCTGCCACCTCTAATGGTGGCCACACACGGTCAGTTAAACTGATCATTCCAACTGATCAGTTCAAACTAAAACTGTTGAAATTTTTTAAAATATCGGATTTTCGATATATCCATGAATAAACGATTAATATAATATAATAATATTATACGAGTATGTAAAACTCCGATATTAATATATTTATAATCATTCATTCTCTAGACCATTTCCCATTATCTGGGGTCGGCGCAGTAAATCTTCTTGTTCCATTCCTCTCTATCAGCCGTCATTTCCATACTTACTCCTTTCATTCTCATATCACTCTTCACACAATCGATCCATCTTTTATTCGGCCTTCCTCTGCCCGTGTGTCCCTCCACATTCATATTCAACACTCGTTTTGTGACATGACTTTCATCCCTCCGCATCACATGCCCAAACCATGCCAATCTGCTTCCTCTCACCTTTTCTACCACTGGCGCTACTTTCAGGCTTCCTCTTATATACTCATTCCTTATCTTATCCATCCTTGTCACACCACACATCCATCGTAACATTCTCATTTCATTCGCATGCAATCTATTTTCATCCTTCTTCTTGACGGCCCAGCATTCACTTCCATACATGACGACAGGTCGGATGATCGATTTGTAAATTTTCCCCTTCAGCCTTATTGGCATTCGGGGATCGCACGTTGTGGCTGTGACCTGTCGCCATTTCATCCACCCTGCGTTAATCCTATGCTGCACAGCTCTATCTATTTCGCCGTCGCCTTGAATGAGGGAACCGAGGTACTTGAAATCTGAGCAGGTAGGCAGTATAGCGCCATCCAACGACATGGGTACAGGACCGGAAAGACCGCCGAAATCACAGCACAGATATTCAGTTTCCAGCCTCTGTTGCCACCCCGTCAGTCTGCTCTGTACCTCGATGCCTTCTTCCCCGACAAGCACGATGTCATCGGCAAAGAGCATGCACCAGGGTGCCTCATCCTGCAGGTCCGACGTCAAAGCGTCCATAATCAGTAGGAAGAGGTAAGGGCTCAATGCCGACCCTTGGTGCAGCCCTACAGCCACATCGATACTGCCCGTAGTTCCCGCGGCAGATCGTACACATGTACGGGATGCTCTGTACATAGCACGGACTAACCTCACATACTTCCCAGGTATACCTTTCATCTTTAACGCCCACCACAAAACCTCATGGGGAACCCGATCGTACGCCTTTTTCAAGGTCGACAAAAACCATGTGCAGATTTTTATGCACGCGCTTGTACTTTTCGCACAATTGGCGTAATGCGAAAATGGCATCTGTCGTACCTCGACCGGGCATGAATCCGAACTGGTTTTGTGTTATCTCACACTCTTCTCTCATTCTTCTCTCTATTATTCTTTCCCAGACTTTCATCGTATGTGACATGAGTTTTATTCCCCGGTAACTGCTGCAGTTTTGAACGTCTCCTTTGTTTTTAAAAATGGGGACCAGTATACTACTGCACCATTCCTCAGGTATTTGTTCTTCCTGCAACAATTTGCCGAAAAATAAACTCAACCACTTCCATCCATCCGCACTCAGCAACTTCCACACTTCTACTGGTATTCCATCTGGGCCGACCGCCTTCCCATTCTTCATATTCCTAACAGCCATTTTTACTTCTTCCACACTAATTTCTCTCACTAAGCCCATATTCATTGGTGGGTTTTCAAGCATACCATTCCATTCATTCTCCTCATTCATCAATTTCTCAAAATACTCCTTCCATCGCTTCTTTATACTTTCAACGTCAGTTAAAATCCTTCCAGAATCATCTTTTATACATTTTACATGTGAAACATCTCTTCCATTCCTTTCTCTCGCTCTTGCAATTTGAAAAAGTCGTTTTTGGCCTTCGGGGCTTTCAAGGGACCGATATAATTTATCTTGCGCCTCTGCCCTACAAATAGCAACTTCCTTCTTCGCTCTCTTCTTACATTCTTTATACGCCCCTCTCTTACTTTCTTTTATGGATTCATTCTGGTCTTCTACGCTCTGCCATTCTTTAAAGGCATTTTTCTTTTCTCTCAAAACTTCTCTAATACTTTCACTCCACTTCCCTTTTGTTTCTCCTAACACCTTCCTTGCCACACTTCGGATACAATCAGCCATTTCCTTCCAGCACTCATTCACACTCATTCCTTCCATATCACCCATCTCTATCATCTTGTTTACAACTAGCTCTCTAAATTCACTTGCATACTCCTCCTTATGCAACAAATGCCACTTTATTTTGGGTGGGGGACGATCCTTATGTTTGTTGAGGCGAACAGTTAAGCAGATGTCAGCCAGCAGAATTCGGTGCTGGGATACTAAGTCTTCACCTGGAAGCACTTTGCAGTTTTTTACACTCTTGATTTGGTTCCGTCTTATCAGAAAATAGTCGATCTGTGTCGCGTGGTGGCCACTATTATAAGTAACAAGATGCTGATCTCGTTTTTGGAACCACGTGTTTACTACAGCCAGGTCGAAAGCACATGCTGCTTGCAGAAGAACTTCCCCCCTCATGGTTCCGCACTCCGTACCCCCATCCACCGTGTACTCTTTCATACCCGTCATTCACTCTCCCTACATGTCCATTAAAATCTCCTCCCATATAAACATCCTCACTCTCAGGTATTCCCATTATCATACAATCAAATTCCTCCCAAAACTTCTCTTTCACACTCTCTTCACAGCCTGTTTGCGGAGCATATACACTTACAACATTCACTACTTTGTTTTCAATCATTAATTTAACAACTATCATTCTGTCATTTACTCTTTTCACATCTGTCACTCGTTCTTTCATTCCACTATCTAACACAACTCCCACTCCATTTCGCTTCCCATCACTTCCACAATAATAAAACTTATATCCTTCCCCAATCTCTCTTGCTTTATTGCCCTTCCATTTTGTTTCCTGCAAACAGGCAACATTCACTCTTCGTCGTTTCAAAACATCTACTAACTCTCTTCCTTTTCCAGTCATCGTACCTACATTCCAGCTTGCAAACCTCACTCTGACATTCTTCTCTCTCCGGGCTCGCCTCTTACGTCGCACCCGCTCCGTAAGACGTAAGACGTGCGACAACCCTTGCCCACTTCCCACAGGAGCCGGGTGCTGCCCCTGCGCGTCGCCTGCGGTGTACGCCCTAGCCCTGTCATATATCCCACAACTCGTACTATTCATAGGTCTACTGCATGGGATTTGGCAAAAGTTTTACAGTCGGCCGCCTGCCTGACACCAACCCTCTTTGGGTATGCTATTGTTGGTAGAGGAAGCTACCATTTTGGGAAAAGGAAAAAGAAGGTTGTGGGTAGGAGCGTAGGTGTAAGGATACTGTTATCTCGGCAGGAAAGATATGAGAATAACAGTAGCTCGGGGAGCCGGGGTCGCGTACCCGTATTCCATAACAGGATCACCGGAAAGGTAGACCAACATGGAAACCCCCCTAAATGATCGATATATCGAAAATCCACTATTTGAAAAAATATCAACAGTTTTAGTTTGAACTGATCAGTTGGAATGATCAGTTTAACTGGCCGTGTGTGGCGTCCATTACGACACCCACAAGATAAGGTGTAAAGGATTTTCTTACGCCGTCATTACACGGCTTGTGAGAAAGAACCACGACACTCAAGGACGTCTTAGATTTCGTTGAAATTACATTCAATTTTACAGATGCAAGAACATCAATAGAATATTTTATATTTAAACTTTTTGGTTATTCAGTATCTTTAACTAACATTCTTAAAATTAAATCTAACTAAAAAGTTACACATATTATTTAAAAAAAAACTAAGAACAATATTAAAAAGTAAATAAAAACCCCAGTACTCCCCGTGGTATGGTGCTAAAAACGCTGGCTGCTTTTCGTCGCTGCATATTATTTGATATATTTATATACTTATTAATCTTAAATTCCTTCAACTATCAGTAACATCATTTAAGGCAAATTTTTCAACCATCAGACAAAAGTTATTCATGAGATAAAAAAGAGCTTACAGTTGTATTTGTATGAGTAAAATAGTTCAATTGTTGCACTTTTATATTTAGCCAGGTTGTAATTTATTTGATGGATAAATTTTATCTGATTATTGAAGTATTCTTGATATATTTTAAACTGTCACCGATGACGAAAGAATGTTCATAACATAATATTACCACTTATTTCTCCATAGATACATAATATACAAAGCCTGATGCAGGGTATAGACACTTGAGTAGGTATTTTTAATAGTTCGAACCATGGAACGTTGACTTTATTTGAGATTCGAACAACCTATCAAGAGTATTTTGTTGAACATAGGCGACCCCCACAGATTGCCACATAGGCGGCATATTTGCCATTGTTGCCACGATTGGCAGGCGGGTTGGCAACCACAGCTTTTTAATTATTATTAACAAGGCACTGCTACCCATCTCGTAGATTGATTGCCTCTGATGATGATAACCGCGGGACGATATGGGGTAATTGGGTACACTTACATTGTAACTACACTCTTAATCTAACCCATAAATAAAATATAAAATATTATGCACACGATGACGTCATTTCTTATTAGAATTATAAATAAAATGTTCTAATTTTAGGGCTACGGATCGCTGGGCATGATGACGTCGGTGCTGATGTGCCCGGACGGGCGCACGGTGGAGTCGGAGGCGGCGCACGGCACCGTGACACGGCACTACCGCATGCACCAGCAGGGCAAGCCCACCTCCACCAACCCCGTCGCCTCCATCTACGCCTGGACCCGCGGCCTTGCACACCGCGCCAAGCTCGACGGCACCCCCGACCTAGAGCGCTTCGCTCTGGCTCTTGAGGAAGTAAGTTTCATCGCGTTCAATCCAAACTGACAGAAACCCAGCGGGGCTTTTTTTAAAAATAAATTTTACAATGTGAATAGTTACAAAATATCTACTCTACACTCACCATATGAAACGACATCAAGCTGCTATTTCACGCTCTTATTCTGTGAATACAATATGTGAGAGTGTAGTTTAATATATAAGTTAATTACATATATACGTTTGTACGAGGTAAAGCTACGCTGAGTACGCTGCTAGCTATATTATGGTTGTAGCAAGAATGCAAAAGAATGAAAGAATGCAGAGTAGAAACAGCTCGACGGGAGAGGACCGCAATCTCACCCATAGATCTAGTATAAACACTAAATGTATGCTCTCACCACCGCACCGGCCCGATAAAAGACTGAAAATAAACATTCACAATTCCAGAACATCAAAGTTATTTGTATGTGTTAAACCTGAAATATGTATAATATTTTTTTTGAGAACTAATATTTAAGTATTAGTAATACTTTTGTTAGGTATGTAACATTATGAACTCATCCTGATAAAGGAACATTATTAAACACAGCATTATGTAAATACAGAACTCGGTTTCGTTAGATAAGCTAACGAATCTGGGCCGTCCTACGTAATTAAATGAAATGATAATAATATTATATAATTTGAACCAATTAATGTAAAAAGAAATTGTAGTTTTCCCTTTAAATACGTTTTCATAATGAGGATTTAAATAATACTAGTATAACGTCCTGCTCCTGGACAGATGCCCAGTCATAATTCCGAGAGGGTTGCCTTACGGTATTTTCCTTCATCGCCGAGAACGTGGAAAAGTAAAATAGTAATTAGCAATTTTATTGGTGCTAGCTGGTATCGAATTTGGACTATTCGTGTACTTAATATGAAAAAAGTGAGCGTGTGACCCTTCGATCAATTATATACTTGATCGAAGGTGTGACCACTTACAAATTAGCTAAAAGATTAATTATTTTGTCTTATCTGGTTTTTATCCAGCGATATAACATTTGTATCAATGGATATCGTAATAGGTAATTGTAGATTAACAAGACAAAAAGATTAAGTGACCAAATAAAAAAATAACAAATATAAATATCCAACTCAATAACGGGAAGCAGTGTCAAAAATGCGAGATACCTAGTATAATTTTGGTCTCTGTTCTTTGACAAGGCGTTTGTCAATTGAGACCATTTTTAGCAAATAATTTTATTGACGCTCCACTACCACATGTGATATGTTATTGGGGTAGGTACAAATACTTCTCTTTAAATGCACTAAATTGTAGCGTTCATTTGGATAATTGTAGACAAGTGGTGTATTTACCGTGGTCGTACAAGAAGATTGATTCCTGGTAATTTCGCCTATACCTTTTTCGCCTTTGGAACATATAGACCTATTGATCTAAATGTTCCAAAGGCGAAAAAAATATATTGAATATTCAATATTGGATAATATATTGCATATTGAATATTCAAATAGGTGTTGTTTACACTACATTAGTACTTACTAGATCCACGAAAACCCTTCAATTGTAAATTGTCCGTTAATGAACAAGTTTTAAAAATATTAACCCTAGAAGCCTAATCTATCTCAGAGATACATAAAGCCTTAACATACGCCTCAGAGGCGTGCATATATAAATAACTATTTCTGGCCTAAAGTATAATTATTTGCGATTTTTTAAGGACCCGTATGATAGGCATTTATTCTAGTAACAAAACGCAGATTCATTAATGGAGACTCTAATCACAGCTATTTATATTACAACAAAATAGAACAATCTGCTGATATTCGAACAAAAAAAGTAACTTCTGATTAATCAACGGTAACATCATTTTTTTAACTATCTTATAAGTTTTTTACTATTTAATGACTTTTTCTTAGCACAATTATTAAATTAAGTCAGACTTTCACAGACTAGCTTAAAGCTTAGAGCAGTCTACACACACATAAACCTTGTGCTCGCAACATACTGACGTTTTTTACTTATAACACACTAATTTGGGCATTCTTTTTTTTGTAAGAGCAAAACGTGCAACATTTACGGTTTTGGGCTCAGATTCTCCCTTCTGAACTTCCTTACATGATCAGTAGATTTTACGAGAATATGGCATATGTATTCTCGTAAAGATCTTTTCAAAGATGGCGCTTCAAGTCTCATCTCCATCCAAGGCTTAACCAAATCTGTGTTGAGCTGCTTCATAAACTTTCTTCTATGTAGGTTTTTTTACTGTTCTTGATCATATTCATTGCTGAAGTTCTCTAAGATGATTGACCCTTGGTAGTCGACCAAATATTCGTTCTAAGCGTGAAGTATATATTCGGAGACACGACGTATAAGTCTTGAGATGTCAAAATCCAAGACTTATAGGTTGAAAATGAGTAGGAGTAGATGGGTGAGCTGCTGCAGCAGTTGTTGAGACAGTTTTTTCATTAGAAGCAGATCGTAAAGAGAAGATCTCGTCAGTAACATAATCGTTCTCGTCTTCACTTAGAACATCCTCCTCTTCTGACGCTGAACCTCTCAGAGAACCATGATTTTCTTCATCTTATATCGTCAAAACATTGGCATTGTTTAGCCGTTTTGATCTTGATATATTTTATCTAAAACAACGTCAATATAACCATAAAACACAAAAAAACTAACAAAAGCGTAATCACACAATCTAAGTTAAAAGTTACACAAAGCCTAAACATACGCCTCGCAGGCGTACAACATTTCAATAAGTCAAAATCGGCGGGACTTACCTTAACGATACGGGCACTATCAGCAGGCTCTAGGAGGCCACTGAGTTGTCTAAGCCGCACAAATCTCCAACTTCACCCGTTACAAAAAGAGAGACAGTTTCCGAATGCGTGTACGCCTCGCAGACGTAGATAAGGCTTCTAGGGTTAAGGAATAAAAGAACACACTAGATATATATATGAATGTAATAACGCCTGGAGGATTATCATTAATCATTTTCTTCACTTAATTTTTAAATATAATTTTTAAATAAACATTTGTAGATACAATTCAATCGTAAACTTAAGTATTTTTAAACAGTTTGCCCGATGTGTTTCTTTTTGGTTATTAGAAGGACAGAATTATACCTAGGTATATCCGAACCAGTATGGTAAGTAGTTAGGTAAATAAAAAAACGCCTCAATAACAATTACGTAGGCGGTCCCATAATGAATTGGCCTAACTATGAACCAATGAAGGAAATGAAACGAAACCAATTTTATTTTTCAATATAATCACCATGAATACTAACACACTTCTGACATCTGTGAATCAACATCTCTAAACCATTATAAAAATAATCACATTTTTTATCCTCAAAATGACTGAAGACGGCCGCCTGCAACTCTTCATCGCTTGAAAATATTCTTCCTCTTAAGTCCCGCTTTAAATTTGGAAATAAATAATAGTCGGACGGGTCCATGTCTGGACTGTAAGGTGGATGTTGAACTTCTGTGAACCCGCATTGACGAACTGCATCCTTCGAAACACCAGCGGTATGATCAGGGGCGTTGTCATGGAGCAACAGGACACCTTTAGACAGCTTGCCTCTTCGTTTTTCCTTTATCTTGTCTCGTAATTTATATATTAAAGAAGCATAATATTCGCCGTTCACGACTGTACTACGTTCTTTAAAATCCACCATCAAAATGCCTTGAAAATCCCAAAATATTGTGCACATCAGTTTTTTAGTCGATTGTTGCACCTTTGCCTTTCTAGGGGGCTTTTCACCCTTATAACGCCATTCCATTGACTCGCACTTGCTTTGTGGATCATAAAACAAGATCATAGTTTCATCACCAGTCACTAGCCGCTCGATCACGGTCTTTGCATTTTCGCCACAAAGATCCAAAAACTCCGAAGCGTAGCGCACTCTTGCCTGTCTCTGTACCGCTGAAAGAAGTTTCGGTGCCCATCTTGCACTCACTTTTTTCATGTGAAGATGTTCATGGATCGCGCGATGAACGGTACTCTTAGAGAGGCCAAGCCTTGCTGCAATTTCTCTAATCTTCAAACGGCGGTCACTCAGAACCTCCTCTTCGATAAGAACAATCGTTTCGGGAGTGAGCACTTCCACTGGTCGACCGTCGTGGCCAAAGTCTTCGACGGTTTCTCTCCCGAGGCGAAACTCTTTCACCCAAATTTTCACTGTGCTATAGGAGGGGGCAGACTCCTTATACACGCCATCCAATCGTTCTTTTATTTGGGCAGGGGATAAACCTTCTTTAAACAGAAACTTTATGACACTTCGATACTCAGTTTTCGACATTTTGAAAAAATACGCGACTCTCGTTATTCAAATGCCTGTTAAACTAAGACTAAGCATTTCATGTCGATGCATGTTTCTTATATTAAGTGCACGATAAACGTACTATTTAATGCAACACAACATGTAGCGACATGTCGCGTTGAACTATATCAGGCCAGTTCATTATGGGACCGCCTGGTATGTAATAACTTTAGAATGAAAAAACTATTATCTTGTATGTAATAATGACGTCCTTTGGTATTACCATATCGATTTATCTAATCATAATAAATGCATATTTTAATACCTATATTAAGTAAGGTTATGGAATCTTAACGATAACATGTACAGACCGTGCCACGAAAGATGAGATTTGGCGAGCGTCAGTAGTGGGGAGCTTGCGCAGGTACTGTCGTGTACGAAATATTATCCATAATTTGTATATCTATTCAGGGATTTTTCGACGACATTTGAAATTAACACAACGTAACAAAATTCTGAAAAATATTTATTACGAAATAATAAATTTAAAGATAAAAATGGCTGATTGTCCTAGTCACTGTCACTGTCAATAAATGATACACCAGCGGGAAGATTATCGTTTGTAACGCGGCTGCAACCAGGTACATTAACTCTAGAAAATCCACTACTTGTTCCAGGAGTTAACAGATTATCGTTTTCGTCAGATGATGATGAGGAACTACCTGAGTCCCCCGAGTCGCTGTCTGACGAATCTTCTCCTAGTCTGATAATTATCTCCGTATCCGTCAAATTGTCTATTATGTGATCACTTTTTATGTAAAAGTCTTCAATTTTTTTTGTTTTATCACATAGAGCTTTCCATTCATTTGGTCCCATTTGGCTTGCCTTTTCTGTTACTAACTCTATCACACGTTTGAGGTTCCATTGCACATTCTTACTACTCACATAACCTTTTATTGAAGACCAAGCCATTTCGATTGGATTTAAATCTGGGTGGTATGGAGGTAATCGCAGTACGTCATGACCGTGTTCAGATAGTATTTTGTCAATGCTGAATGTCTTATATTGTTCTTTATGTATTTTTATCAATTTGTACAATTGTGGTTTAAGCATATCTGGAGTGTAGGGAATTCCTTTTTGGGTTAGCCAAGATTGCATATCAGCTTTCTTGGTATTTGAGCTTGGTGCAGATTCATACTCCTTATTGTGATACGGGGCATTATCAACTACCACGACGGCATTTGGTGGAAGATTGGGTATTAGCTGGGTTCGAAGCCATTTCTGATAATTTTCGTAATTCATGTCGTCGTGGTAATCACCCGTTTTTGACCCCGATTTAAAAGTCAGTAAAGCGTTTGGTATGAAACCACTTTCAGATCCAGCATGTACAATAACTACGCGCTGACCTTTAGATATTGGTTTTTTAAGCCCTTTATCTGAATTATCAGACCAAGATTTGGAGGTACTATGCGTGGAATGCACGTAAGACTCGTCAGTATATACAATAGGACGGCCTTCTTGGCGATATTTTCTGACTTTTTTTAAATATTCAATTCTTTTCAGTCTGATATTGGATTTTTTATTAGAATTTTTCGATTATTTTCGGTCCTCCTCCATCGAAAACCAAGGTCTTTCAAAATGCGGCGTAGACTTGTTTTAGAACCTCGAAAGGCAATATCATCACGCAACTTTGCTAAAATTTTTTTGAGGGTCGGCAGTTCCTTGTTCGTAACATGGAAGTTGTGAACACATCTTTTTATCACTCCTTTGTCAAAGTCATCTATGTCGGTTAAAAGTTTGGGTCTTGACCTTTTTTTCCGGGAGTGCGGAAAATTGTTAGTAACTCGGAACTGTTTCCTCCCTTCACAATTCTTTTTACTCTAATTAATGATGTTCTAGTTGCGACCGCTGTGCGCATTTGTAGCTGCTTCAAATTTTGTACACCTTCCTTTGCTTCTTTTGACATATAGGTGTACACGTCGTAAACCATCTTCCTACTTTGTCGTCTTAATGTTTTACCTCTAGGCATAATCAAGATTTCACAAAGTTTCACTCGTATAGAACAACACAGCTATAAACAAAGTAGAAATTTATAAACACAAGTTGCACTTGTCTGTACTTGCGGAGTCAAGCGGTAAGTGCACGGGGCGCGGGCGGGAAGCAACTAATATGAATGAGCGGCGCCGATGACGCCCGGTCCCTTCCCGCCTCAGACTTCATACGCTAAAGAGACCGATAAATCGACTAATGCGCAACTCAAACCACGTGATGTGTCAAGTCTCATCTTTCGTGGCACGGTTCTTAAGTATAGGTAGGTAATCCGTGTAGGTATACGTGCGTGAACACAGAATTTTTCTTTAAAGAACGTTCGCGTTGGAATGGTCACGTGGCAATGTTGGTCTACTTTCAAACTTTTATATCAAATTGGATCTCTTTTAAAACGAATAATAGTTTAAGACATTAATTAATATTGGATGCCCTTATAAGAAGTATTTTTTCTTCAGCCCGTAAACGTCCATTGCTGTATGTACTATCACGTATACGAGTTAGTAGTATGTGCTACATAGGTATATATTATGTGTATTATGTATGGGGGGGGGGGGGGATTAGCCTTAATCGCCACACTGGCACTGGCGGATTGACGATCGCAGCAGGTAGTAGCCACCAGACAACTCGCACTTTTGAGGCTGCTCTCTTTTGCCTGTCTAGTTTACGTCTGGCCTAAATTTTAAAGGCATTTCCCAGACTTAAAAGATACACCTTGAAACTTCTTTATTGCTTTACAAGTAATAATCAGTATAAATTACAAGAAATGTTAAATATAGTATTTCCTTTAATCTGCCGTAAACTGCCCCTTTACAAGCAAACTTTGTTAGTTACTTCATTAATCAATGCATTATCACATGTTCTCTTTTTTTTTCTTATACGACGATATAAATGACAAGCTTGTGAAAACTATCCATGCGGTCGGAGCTAAATTCTACAAGACCCGCCGCAGAAGTACACAAAAACTCTCCGTTCATACACTTAATCTTGTGGCTGTTAGACAGGACATGAAGCATCAGTCTTCAGCAGATTTGACATCATACGGGCAACTGAATTGACAGATCTCCAAATGCATGCGGCGGGACTTACGCAACTTCAATACAACTTGTATTGAAGAAGTGATCAAGCGGAACCAGGGCTCTAAAGTCTTTGCCAGCGATCTGTCTGCCTGAAAGAACCAACTGTCGAAGCTGAAGACCGATTTTGGCAGCATTGTTTCCGGGACACTACAGATTTTGAATGAGATTGAGAGATTCTATGGGCAGCTGTACACATCATCGTACTTCACGTCAGTGTACTTGTCAAGGGCTGTAATGATGATGATGAGTACAGACTCTCGAGCAGAATCTTTTAGTCGTTATGTTTGTACGAATTTTTCAGTAACTTAAATACAAATTTATTTGATTTCAGGCATGCGTGGAATGCATCGATAGCGGCAAAATGACGAAGGATTTGGTTATTTGTATTCATGGTATGGCCAACACTAAAGAGGGCATGTATTTACATACAGAAGACTTCCTGCAAGCTATTGCCGATCAACTCGAACGTAAATTGTCTAAGTAATCGTTAATATACAGCATTTCATATTCATATCACACAATCTGTGAAAAAAATCTTCTCTGATGAATAATGTAAGCTAACAGTAATATTGAAATTACCTATTTTTACATTTTTTATACAATTAATAAGACATACCATGAGATTACTCTTACAAGCTATTGCTTCTCAACTTGAACATAAATTGTCCAAGTAATCGTCTATGCATTTCATATTCATGTAGCACATTCTGTAAAAAATATTTCTCAATGGATATGTTTAATAATGTAATGATCGCCACACACGGTCAGTTCAACTGCTCATTCCAACTGATCAGTTCAAACTAAAACGCTTGATATTTTTTAAAATATCGGATTTTCGATATATTTATAAATAAACTTATACGTAAAACTCCGATATTAATATATTTATAACGATCGATATATCGAAAATCCACTATTTTAAAAAATATCAAAAGTTTTGATTTGAACTGATCAGTTGGAATGATCAGTAGAACTGACCGTGTGTGGCGACCATTAGACAACGGTAATATTGACATTATTTTTATATTTTATAGTACTAATGCGATATTCTATGACGTTCCTTATAGACTGATAATTATTGCTATTGCCATTTTAACAGCAATGAACTGTTCGTACATAGTGATGATTCTTAAGCAAAATGATAAATGTATGTACATAAAAATATTAGTCTCCATTTTTATATATCATGCAAATATATGCTCCATCTGTAACCTACGTTGCTTGAAGTATCTCATACTAAAACTTAAACTTTTTTATCCTTCGAACTATGATTCATTAATGTCGAACATTAATTAATCAAAAGAAGTGCTTTACAAAATTAGTGAAAATTTATTTTTGCAGGTAAGGGAAGTACCTAATCTGTAATTATTAGGTAATAGTAAACTAAATGTTTAATTTTAAGTTAAAAACTTTATATTATAAAAAAATCATATAAAGTAAATTTGTGTCTGATTGTCTCGTTAAAACTCGAACAATTTTGATGAATATTTTGTGTGCATTTTGAGTGGGTCCCTGGATGGCTTAGTTTCACAATTGGACCCTGTAGAAATATCACCCGTGCGAAGCCGCGGCTAATTGCTAGTAGGTACATACTTTATCATTAGACAAATTGATGCCTTCCTTTGCATTCGCACACCAAAAAGATAGATTTATGCATACGTCTTGCATAGAAATGAGACAGAGCAGTGTGATTGCTTGTCCCTTTCTGTATGCCAGTTTTTTTGTTTAGAAAACTACACTTTGCTAAACATCTTTGACAGTTCGTAGCGATCAATCGAAAGCATTTCTTCAAATTTATTTATCGTATCACATTTGTATTTTTTTTTAATAAATTACCAATAAAATTTAGTTTTGTTTTATTTAACTCATAGGTATTATGCAAAAGTAAAAAAAGTAAAATTACAGCCTAAATACGTCCCACTGCTGAGCACAGGCCTCTCCTCATTTATGAGAGGGTTTTAGGGCAGGGAAGTGTCCGCCGCGCTGCCCCAATGCGTGTTGGCGAACTTCACATGTCTTAGAAATATTTTTTATCTTATGCCTCAGACATGCAGGTTTCCTCACGATGTTTTCCTTCACCGACGAGCACGTGGTAAATCAGCACTTAAAATTGCAATTAACAATTTCATTGGTGCCGGCGCGGATCGAACCCGGGTTACTCGCGTTCTGTTATAACACAGCGAGCGTTGACCATCTGAGCTACCACGGCTCTTGACTATCACGGCTCACTCACGGTATTATGTACATATTGTAATTTCACATGTTGCTCTTGTATGCAGTTATTTAAGAATATTACAATATGTGTACTAGGCAAAGCAAAATAGTTCCTTGGCTTCTGTGTTATTCTTTTATTCCTATATAGTAATTTTAGAATAGGTACTTAATATTCTATTTATCTGTTTGCGTTTATTTAAATAAAAAGATAAATACAGAATGTTCCAAAAAGCAGTGCCAAGCAGAAGTCCACATGCGGAGTATCCGAATAACCTCTTTGATTTGTACATCACCTCCATGTATTCTATGCATTATTTGCCAGTCAACCCTGGATGATTAGAGAAACTGTGGCAGGTGTAAACAATCACTTTATATATTTAATAAATAAGTAATAATGATATATAGGTAGGATAAAATAAAATGCAAATAAGTAGAATAAAGTTGAAAAAATATACATACTTACTAAATATCGGGTCGGTCGGTAGTATAGAAATTGAATCATTATGTAATATAAGTTATACGTTACCCAAACATATATATATATATATATATATATATATATATATATATATATATATATATTATCCCTTTAGGGGTAAATATTTTTTGTAGTTGATGACATAGCCTCAGAAGAGGATTACTCCCCGCGCCGTATATGTATTACTCTACTCTGTGATTACTCACAAACTAATAAGAGTACTAACGACATTTAATGTAGTCTTTGTACAAAGTAGTGTACCGTAAAATGGGGTGAATAGAAATCGCGAGATGTATAGAAACAAATCTGAGAATTTAATTATGGTCGTTCTAGTTGCTCTATAGTCTGTTAAAGTATCTTTATTTCTACTATTAATTACACTGCAACATTTTTCCTTTATTCTGGTAACCCTAAAATTTACGTCAAGTCTAATGACATAGAGAAAAAAGCTGTTGAAGTGAACGTCTCCGTACAAGTGTTTATTGACTGTGTAAAACTTAAAAAAAATAAACATCAAGTTCGTCACTGATAACTCTTTGTCAATTTGCATATTTTGATAGTTAAGTTTCTCATCTATTAGAAATAAAAAGGTTAGTATCGATATTCCATCATTTTGTTCTTATTTTTTAGTAAAATCGAGACTTATTATTTTTTTACTGATTTCGAGGTGAATAGAACCGAGTCGGAGGTGATTAGAAACGCCTTTAGGGTCAATAGACACGAAGAAAGGGGTGAATAGATATGAGTGAGGGGTTAATAGCAACGAGAAAGTGGTTAATAGAAACATGATTTTCAGGGTTGTCAATCGAGTATTTTTTCATCATGACAGTTTTCATTTAAAAATTTTTGTTAAAATGTTTTTCTGTGAAATTTAATTTGAAATTAAGATTTTTTATCTTCAACGGCTTTGGTTAATTTAATTTAACATTTTCTGTATTACTGAGATAATTATTAAAGACCGTTTAAGGATATATTTGCGATTAGCCTCATTCCAAAAAATGCCCTAGGTTATTGTGGGTTCATTTGCAGAAAGACTTTGTCGTAAAGCGACAATTAAAAAAAAAGAACCTAACCTAACAACAACGAAACAACAAAAAAACGAATAATATATTTAAAATTTTAAAAGATATTTACAGTTTTTTTTATATAAAAAAAATATGAAGATGATGATGGGTGACGTGAATTACAATTATTTTTTTTAAATAACAAAGATAAAAAAACTGATAACTGAAACGGAGCCCGAAGACCAAGGTGGCACACCGCGCTTGGCAGTGGTGCTCACCGCTAACGGAGTATGCACAGGCTATGCCTGTGGTAGGTGCGCAGCGCCTGATCTAGGCACACGCAGCGTCTGGAGTAGGCACACGCAGCGCGTGCAGTAGGCACACACAGCGCCCGGACTAGGCACACACAGCGCCCGGACTAGGCACACACAGCTCCCGGAGTAGGCACACGCAGCGTCTGGAGTAGGTACACGCAGCGCTTGGAGTAGGCACACGCAGTGCTTGAAGCAAGCACGCACAGCGGCTAAAGATAGCGCGGGCATTAGTAGGTGGAGGCGTAGGCGTGGCTAGACGACGACTTCCGGTGAAGGCAAAGGCTTGCAGGATCCCGGGGCAATGCGGTCCCGGGATAAGGCCTTTAGGAGATGCTTTTAGTTTGAAAGCTGAAGCTAGACTCCCTTTATTGGCCGATTGTTCGGCTTTTATACTTTTTTTAGAGAGCTCCGCGCTCGACGACGGATTTGTGAAAAGAACGGGAAATTATTTAAATTAAAAGCAAATTTTTGTAAATGGCCAGGAAGAAAAGAGTATTTTTGTGGAAGTTTTGAAGTAAAAACATCATACCGGTAACGAATTTGAATAAAAATTGCCATGACAACCAGATAAACAACGATGTCAAATTTTGGTTTCAGGCTCGTAATAGAGAAACGGCAAGATTTAAGTGAAAAATGAGATATTATTGATATAGGATAAAAGGTAGCGCAACAGCGTGCACGAAGCCCGAAATTGCAGAGTTACGGAGAAGTAAATAAAAGATCGAAAAAAGGTAGACTCCATTGACACCGTTTTAAAAAGTGCTGATAGCGTGAAAATACGAAGTGAAAATGATTTGTTATTGTGTTCTTATGGTTTGAAAACGTTACAGGATCCTATGGAAATAAAGGTGATGCAAAATATCCAGTTTTGAGGTGAATGCAGAAAATCAAAAACAGAATGGAAAAATAAATTTAAAATAGTGTAAAATGATATGTAAGTAGCATAACACTACAACTTATTCTTAAAAATACATATTCTCGTTATGCCCTGTTTTTTTTTTAATGTTCAATAATACATTTAAATATTAGGTAATCTAAATTCTACTTTGTTTTTACTTGGTTAATTTTAACTAACACGCGTAAGTGACTGTAGCTACGATTAGTGTGTATTTTATGTTCGAATTTGGTAGAGCCATGCTGCAGTTATATTAGTAGTATAGTTGTAGCACGAATGGGTCGGCTCGATCGGGGAAGGACCACGCTCTCACAGAATACCAGCGTGAAATAGTAGCTTAATGCTGCTGTATTTCGTATGGTGAGTGTAGAGAACCGGAGACCCTTTTTACTGGAAACGAGGCATTCCATCTCAGTCCTCACGGGTGCCAACGCATCTGCATTTTGATTTTTAATGGAGGATAGATGTAGATGTCTATGGGCCGCAGCAACCACTTACCATCAGGTGGACTGTGTGCTCGTTTGTCACCCTATTCTATAAAAAAAAAAATTATAATTAATTCACATAAGGTGAATTACATCATTTCTTGTACTTGATTTTCACGAATTCTTCGTGATTATTTTAAACAGATACGCCACATCGCGATATCAACATCATGCCGAGGGTGTACAAGCCGGATCCTCATGGCAAGAGATATAAAAAGTATAGCAAGGAACTCATCGAGCAGGCTCTTCGTGAGTATAACGAGGGGAGCAATTCCTTGAGCAACGTTGCCGAAAAAATTTCAAATTAATAAATCTGTCCTCTATAGACACAGTATTAAAAATGTGAAGACCCAAGGAGACCAGACAGTGCTATCAAAGGAGACGGAACTTCAATTTATAAAATACATTAACGTATGTGCCGAATGGGGATATCCTATGGAACTTTATGACTTAAGTGTTTTAGTTAAAATTATTTGGATAGATTAGGCGTTACGGAAAAAAGATTTAAAAATAACTTATCTGGGCCGGATTTCGCCAGAAGTTTTTTGAAAAGGCACAGTGATAAAATAACTCAGAGGGTATCACAAAATATTAAAAGGAATCGAGCTGTAGTCTCTCCAGATACTATTAAAGAGTATTTTCAACAGTTACAAATTTGTATTAGTGATGTTCCGATCGAAAATATAGTCAACTACGACGAAACGAATTTAGCTGATGATCCCGGCAGAAAAAAGATCATTACTAAGAGAGGAACAAAATACCCTGAAAGGGTGATGAATTCTTCAAAAGCTTCAATTTCAATTATGATGGCGTGTACGGCTGCAGGAGAAATCTTACCCCATATGTAGTTATAAGGCTCAGAACTTATTCGATACTTGGATAAAATCTGGCCCAAAAGGAGCCCGTTATAATAGAAGTCAATCTGGCTGGTTTGATTCTAACATTTTTGAGGATTGGATAACCAGTATGATAATTCCGTTTTTTGAAAATAAACCCGGTAAAAAATATTTGATAGGTGATAACTTATCATCCCAGCTATCAATTGATTTAATAAGAAAATACTATGAAAAGGATATACCAATTCAACGCCAATTCCACGCATATTATGCAACTACTCGACGTTGCGTTCTTCAGACCGATGAAAATAGCATGGAGAGAAATAATTTTACAATGGAAGAAAATTGATGGTCGAAATGAATCTTCGATTCCGAAAGGTTGTTTTCCCAAATTACTTACTAAATTAATGCAAAAATTAAAAGTTGATAGTTGTTTACTGAAAACGAATACCTACTTACATAGGTACAATAAAAGTTGTTTTTGACAACCCTAACGTTCTTTCTCTATTCACCCCTCTGTCGTATCTTTTGACCCCAGTTTCAAGGTAAATAGAACCCGCCTACTTTTTCCTATTTTACAAATAATTCTCAAATTTATGCATAATTAAATAATAACTATTTGGTAAATTAAAACGAGACTCGCATTTCGACAATTTTTTAATAGCAGCTTTCATACAAAATATGTAAGAAAATCAGTGTAGAAGTTGAAAGTTGTGTCTATTCACCCCATTTTACGGTAGTACATTGCTCCCTAACTCTACTGAGAGCAGCGTTGCCAACTATCTTTTTGGCCTTTCCTGCAAAACCTGCGAACTTCAGTTCCAGAATCTATGTATTTTTATCAATATTACATATTTGCCAAATAACATGACTCATGGGCTCATGCATTATGGCATTATTTCCAGTATTCGAGAAAATAAAATAAAAAAAATATTCCGTTTTTTACTAACACACACTGGCCTTGCCAGCTCACCACGCAATAAGATCAAGTGTGCATTCCATAGAGCTGTGCTGTGACTCATCTGAGTGTGAACGAAAAAGGAAACGTCTCGTATATTTCAAAAATAAGAAAAGGCACTTCGTCTTAAATATTAATATTATATTATTCGTCTTAACATCAGGTGAACCGTTTGCTCGTTTTCCCCCTTTCCTTTAAAAAATCCCTTATTGGCCCAATTTGCACAAAATTTATTAACATTGCCACATAGCAGTGCAATTGTTGAGCTTCTGTGTTCTGCGATCAATCTGATGAAAACTGACATCAGAAACAGATTTTCCATCTACATGCTAACAGGCAAAATTGTTACAAAAATGGCTTAAAATTAAACTGAGCATACACAGGAACACATTCAACTATTTTATAAAAATATGCATAATGATAATAAATAATTTAATTTTAAAAAACATTCATTTTATTCAGATTCTCCGACCCTAATTACCTCTTAATTTTTATCCCGATATACACATACTTTAATCTATGCTTTTCGTTTCGCTCAAAAAAGTACGTAGATCTACGAACTTTCCATGTGCAAAATTGTACTAATTCTACGTAATTTTTTAATTTGGCCTACGCCTATTTGAAAATCCGAGTTGGCAGCAAAACGTTAGTTTATCTGGTCTATATAATTATTATCATGGAGGTTAAAGAACAGGAGACCGATCGCTACGTGCTAAAGCATAGCCCGCCTGTCCCCGAAAATTTGTAGAATTTATAGCCGCACTGCCGTTGGTAAGTAGTGTCTGCGAAGTAATTTTTTAATTTTTGACAAAAAGAAACATTAAAAAATGGTGAAATATTATAAAAAATAATAACAATAAATAAATAATAATTCATGTTTGTAATAATTTATAAAAAAAACATAATTTATTTATTAATAAATAATAATAGTTTCGTTATTTTCTCTTTTTTTTCCTTTGAATGATATAATCATTTCCAACAACAGTCAACATTGAGGTAACTTATTGATCGCAGCGCCTCACTTATTTTGTCCACATTTCCTGGAAACTATTTTCTACAGCGATCGTTCTCCTGTTCTCTAACCTCCATGTTTATTATACTCTGGTCAATTTGGTCTGATCTATGCGTAGGATCTGTAGGTTGGCAAGCAGTGATGTGAAATGTACATTAATTATTGGATTCTTACAATAATTTGTTACACGAAACCAAATTCCACCATAAAACATAGCTTTCTCATTATTGTACGCTTTTATACAATATTTTCCTATTTATAAGTTCAATACTAGATACACGCAACTTTAAAATGTATGAACTAACGCAACACGTACTTATACCAAATAATGTAGTTATCGCTTCTAAAAGCGCAAAACGTCTTGAATAGGGATGTATATCATTTGAACCCACGAAACAATTGGCAAATCAAATTGTCTCCAATGTCCTGTATGCAACTTCTCAGCAGTTAAATCCGTCTACACGTTGAGATTTCGAACTCGAAGAAGAAGACGACTTCGAATTTTCCATACCAGTTTAGTTCATATTGTTTAATTCCGTGCCCTAAGTTTTATTATTTTAATAAAAAAACAACAACATGTTTTAGTTTATGCAAATATAAAGAAATAGCAAAAACCTATTAAATTTGGATTTAGACAGCTTAAATAAATAAAAAAATCTTTAGCAAAAAAATACAATAATTCTACCCAAAATACAATATTTTCTAGCTTGGTAACACCATAATTTCGCACCAACTATTTTCCAACTTTGACTGAGATCTGAGAGCTGAGAGATACTGAGAGACAGAGAGAGAGTATCAGGGTAAATATTAGGTGAAATTGGAATCAGGAAAGAAAGATTGAGAAAGATACACAATTTTATGAAATAAATATACATAATGCAAGTTTTTCTTTTACTGTTGCATTTACTGATAAATGTACATATTTCCAATGCTTCAGATTATTGTTCCTCTGAGTATGATTGCTTACAAAACAAAAATAGATACAGCCGAGGTAAGTTCTCTTTTAGGATTATTCGATGTAATCAGTGATTTTTGATAAAAATATTTTATTATATTTTCACATAAAAGTTATTTCGTTCTCTTAATAAAACTTCTTGCTTTAGATTTGCTGTTACTGGCAAATTTTGAGGTTATAATGTTATGGTTTGTTTTTGTGATCATGTAGTAGGTGTGTCCTGTGTAGAAGTTATAAAACAGAATTTAAACCTTTCCAGAGATGAATGAATGGACAACAAAAATAAATGAATTCATAAAATTATCAACAGAAACCTATAAATCTTGTGAGAAATCAAATTGTAGTTGTCATAAAGCTGTTATTGACCAGGATTTGTTACCTTTTAAAGAGGGAATTGTGAAAGAACAATTTGACAATGCCAAACTAAAGGGTACAAAATATCAGGTACGTTTATTTTTTTCAACTTACCATTAAGTGTTATTGTCATTTCTCTTAAAGGATTAGAGTAGAAACTTCGTTTTTTTCCCTTATTTTTACTCCTTAGCAGCAGAGTATCAATTGTTGTGTTCGGGTGACTGTCGGCTGTCGTAGCAGCTTTTCAGTTGAATCTAATGCTGGACTTGAGTAATAAAGAATAAGTTATGAACAACACAACACTTAATTAAAATACATCCAAAATTAGCTGAAACATGTGTGACCACCAATCACTCTGACAGCAGAATCCTCAACGAATGTTGTGCTCTACCTTCGCCGCATATTGTGAGTGCTGCAAGAACACATTTCGACCACATCCAGGGCGGCTATGGTGGCTTCTCCTTGAGAGAGGACAACGCCTCCTTATCAGATTCGGGATGCGATGCGCCTATTTAGGTAGATCCTTTTTAGACATACCAGAACACAAGGTGCGCCTGCCTCCCTGGCTTTCAATTCCAACTGTGTATTGGACTCTCTGACTCCGATATGTAGTCAGAGATCATGAGGCCAGGACAAAAAAGTATTTGGAAGTCTTTTTGCTCCCCGTGAAAGATCTTACAAAGGAAGTTCAGCTGCTGAACGACTGACGCATTCACACACCTATAACCCCGTGGCCCCACCGCAATACCCGCTTCAGCATTAGGGATCCTCCATAGTCGCTAAGAATAGGGCGAGTGGTGCATTGCTATACCGACACACCTCTTCCCCATCGACTCCTCAGTTTTGACGTAGGGGAAGAGGATACCACTCTTACCTCAGTCTACTAACACATCACAATTACATATTTGATAGTAATATTCAAAAGTCATGACCATCATCAACTTAAACATAATGATTTCTTATATTTATGCAAACACTACACATTGCTTAAAACTACTTTTATGGATTTTATCGCATTTAATTTTATTTTTAATTATTTTTATTTTAATTCCCGACGTTTCGGGTGCTTTCCAGCACCCATGGCCACAGGGGACTGAGGTGACTGACGTCCCGATGTCATTGTTAAACCCGGAGTAACTTCAGCTTTTTTAATTATTGTTTATGGTCCGATCTATGCAAAATGAACTGATTATGTCCTGAGGTCTTGCAGTGTTATGCTTGGGCTTAGTTTTAATTTTATTGATTATAGGGTCCCTAAGCAGGTGGTAGTACCCAGCCTCCTACTCTATTGAAATTAGGATGTTTTTTAATTTCAATAGCCTCACATATCATCCTTGGTAGGAATCGGTGTTCTTTCGCGAGGATTTGTGGTCTATCAAATCTGATGTAATGATTGGGGCCATCTAGGATATGATCACAAACTGCAGACTTCCCGGAACGTTGATGCTTCACATCAGCTATATGTTCTTTTACGCGCGTAAAATCCTCAGCAGATCTTTTACGCGAAAAAGTCATGTGTCAAAATGGGACCCTATAATCAATAAAATTAAAACTAAATCCAAGCGTAACTCTGCAAGACCTCAGGACATAATCAGTTCATTTTGCACAGATCGGACCATAAATAATAATTAAAAAAGCTGAAGGTACTCTGGGTTTAACAATGACATCAGGACGTCAGTCACTTCAGTCCCCCGTGACCATAGGTGCTGGAAAGCATCCGAAACGTCGGGAATTAAAAATAAAAATAATTAAAAGTAAAATTAAATGCGATAAAATCCGTAAAAGTAGTTTTAATCAACTTTAACATAATTAAAACCGAATTATATTTAAAATTTAATTTAATTGAAAATTATTTTAAAAATTAACACATGAGTAATGAAATTTTTATCTTATTTACACATGTTTCTTATCCTATTTTTGTAGATTATCGAGGGAAAGGTTTATAGACAAAAGGAGTGCCACTTTCCATTCAGATGCTCTGGTGTAGAACATTATTTAATCGCATTGGCACCCAAATTGCCAAACATGGAACTTGTCATAAATACTAGAGACTGGCCACAGATTAACCATGCTTGGGGTCATAAGAAAGCACCAGTGTTTTCTTTCAGTAAGGTTAATGATTATCTTTTTAGCATGCAAATATAATGAATATACACATTTGTTTCAACATTTTTTAAGTACCAACAAACAGTTTTCATATAACAATTGGTGGCTTTATAGCCCAGTGACTAATCGTTTGGTGACGACACTGTGAGGCTGCAGGTTCGAATCCTGCAAAAAACTACTGTTTGTATGGCCCACAAATAAACGTTTTCTAGGTTTGCATGCGTGTTTTTGTGTAATTTATGTATGTAAACGTTCCACAAAGCTGGAGAAAATCCTTTGGTGGTATTATCATTCTTTTGAAATCTTTGTAATAAGTATTTGTAGTAGTTATTATATGACTGTCCTATAATAACACAAATTGTTAAGGTTCTGTTTGGCTGACTTACCTGTGTTTGTCATTTTATCTCCATCATCCACATAGCTGTATGTTTATTAATATTACTTCTTGTCTCTTGTGTTTTTAATTTAAACATAATATTACAAAAAATTGTTTATAGAAAGCTCACGTTTAAACAAAAATCTTTTCACAAAAGAAGTACGCAACCTTCTTTATTTGGAAACTCTTTTTGAATAGCCACATCAAATAAACTTGATACCTTCCTTATAATAAACCACGTTTTGTAATAAGATGTAATATATTTAGTCAAATTGTATAAACATTTTTCATATTTTATGCTTAGGCGTACATTACACGCTCATGCAGTCGTCAATCAATTCCATCAATCATGATTGATGAAAAACGGATGGTGACTGATACGCGTACATTACGCGCTTATGCAGGCGTCAATCACTGCATTACACGGTAGGTTATTCGTCATTCACAACCGTGATTGTTGTAAAACTGTCAGCCTGCATGAGCGTATAATGTACGCGTTATTCTTCTTAAAACCGTAAGGGAACACTGCTGAACATGGTCATAGGATTTACAATCACAGTATGAGAAATATTTGAGTTAAGATATTTTACGTCTGGGATAAATGAGATAGTTTTACTGCCATCTATTGGAATCTATAACATTTTCGTTTGTCACCTCTTAGGACACCCACAGGACAAAATGGGTTGATGGATTTTATTTGTTATTGCACTGCATAGCATAGCAATAACATAGCAGCCACTCTTTTTTTAACACAACTTTTTTTAGGGCTCAAAGGAGATGATTATAATTTTTTAAATAAAATGATTAATTGTATATCTTTTATAATTTAAGTATTTGTAATAGAACAGGTAGAAATAATATGTAATACTACATGCATAAATACATATACTTTAAAGGATTTCATTTGGCGTAACCCTGACACGCTTCTCTTACTTCTTTCACATCTCTTTACTCTTTAATTGGCTCATTTTCAGTGTATCTCAATTTTGGTCGATAAACTTCCAACTCTTCTGATTTTAAACATGGCTTGCTGGTGCAATTATAAGCCAGCCTCGATACAACCTAACAGAACACCAAGTGAACCGGCATTAATTATTTCTTATGCTTTTCGCCTGGTAAGTGTAGATAACTGGATAATACAGATTCCATGCTATAACAAATCTATTCCACATAGACTTCCTTAAGATTTGATTCTTGAGAATTTCCACTCTCAACACGCTGAATGTTTTGATCATTCCTCGATCTGTTTAGAGCTTTGCTTTGATATAATATGGTCTAATACAATTGGTAACTTTGCCCACGCAGGATCCAGACGTGTAGCATCATACACTTTTTCTATTGGACCTTCTGCTGAGCTCTCATTCGGACCACTATAAAAATTATGTTGATGCTCTTCTTGGCTCTGGATTACTGTCACGGTTGAGAATTACAGGCAGCCGCCGTGTATGGCACCACAGGTCCACTATCCATGAGTGTGTTTCTATCGCTCATGTGGTACTTCCGTAAATGGAATTATTTATGCCTTTACCTGTGGAGCTCATCGGAAGCAGTTCCCTAACCTTGTTTCGTATGCTTTTGTAAAATTGAATCACGCCATAAGCGGAAGTGATAACAGGCCTGGACTGACGTGTCGAATAAAAGTAATTATAATTATGCCTCCAGGTCCATCAAAACATTATTATTGCCAAGACAAGGAAGTCAGAGCACATCGGTGGAATTAACAAGAAATTCGTTCGCCTTCCTTCGGGTAGCCGTGTATTCTGGTCTCTCGTAGGCAAAGGCAAAGTAACTTTCGTCAGCCATCTCTACCATCTTGCACTAGGAGGACAGATCACTGGCCCATGCCGTAAAAGAGGAAGTCACTCTTTTAGACTCTCGATGATAGGAGACACACCGCCGACCATCATGCAATTTGAGTGCTCTATGTCGGATGTGCGTTTTACAAAGCGCTTAGTTCGCAAAGCACTCCTCTCACTGGACGTGGACAAGTCAATTAGACCCGATTCTATTGTGCGAAAAGCTTGTATTCCGGTGTTAGCACCGGTTCTTACACTTCTTTTCCGGCCCTCCTACTGCTTAAGCATAGTCCCGAACTCATAGAAGACAATTTTAGTGCAGCTGATCCCTAAAAAGACGACCGTTAAGACGAAGTGCTTTGCAGTAGTCATGCGCAAAACAGTGCGTTTTAAAGTGATGTAATATGACATTACATTTCGTACCGAGGAATGTTGCATTACACCATGACTCCAAACATGACGCGAAATGACGTGCTAGTGCCACACGCGATGGCCATTGTTATGAAATGCTCGCGTGGTAGTAGAAGATATGCATCTTTTCAATGAGATACCGCGTTATATTATCATGGTGTGACATGAGAATCGTCAAACGAAATAATTATAATAATAATGTTTATTTCTCACCACAAACAAAGTTACATTTAGAGTTATAAGTAGTACAAAACAACTTTGCCCGTGGATCGCTGGTGCTATGGTGGGTAAGATACCCGTATTACAGGTCACCAGGTCTCCACCTCTGCGAGGAATGCTATTTATATCTAAAACATTAACACATAAAGATTAACGCTATTTCCTTATAATTGAAATAATTGGTTATGGTTAAGAAAACTTAGAAAAATGTGTGTGTGTGTGTGTGTGTGTGTGTGTGTGTGCGTGTGTGTGTGTGTGCGTGTATGTGTGCGTGTGCGTGCACGTGCGCGTGCGTGCGTGCGCTCGTGCGTGCGTGCGTGCGTGTGTATGTGTATTTTATACGACAACCTCTAAAAGACTGTTTTTGCATAGGTTTGCTTAAGGAGCCACTTGAGAATAATGTTTTCGCACTCATATTGATTTCGAGAAAAGAGGGATAAGGTTTTATGCAATTTATTATATAAATAGGGGCCAAGGAATATGAAGAATCTTTGACTAAATGCAGTTTTAACTTGAGTAGACTTTGCAACTAGTTGGAAATGTTTGTTAAAAGAGCCATGTCCTGTGATAGCACTTGTCCTGATCCTGTGGCTTGTTCAGTCTCATTAGAACCTTGGTTAGACGACTGTTTATTTCAGGTAGGGCCTCCCTAGCTTGTCTACAGTCTACTAAATTTTTCCAAAGCTGAGCGTGTAAATTATTGAAGTATCTACGTACCAGTGAACGAACGTAGCCAAAGGGGATTGGTATTATTGGTTCCGGCCCTATAGTTGCCAGGGCCGATCCCCTTCTGGCCAGTTCATCTGCTGCATCGTTGCCTCTAGATCCACTGTGTTGACAGAGTCACATTGTTGTGCTTACATACCTCATTCACTTGTTGATGACACTCGTATATCAGTCCCAAGTTCGTCACATTGCAACTCAGAGCTTGTAGTACCGCCATACTGTCGGTCAGTATTCTGATGGAGAAGTCTTTCACCTACCTAGCATCTATTGCTATGGCCGCTTGGATGATACCCATGCATTCAGCCTGGAAGACTGTATTGTAGGTACCAAGCGGTGTGCATATGTGGATATTAAGGTCTTCAGAGAAAGCCCCAGACCCCACAACTTCATTTGTCATACTTGGCTTGTAAGATAGGAATTTTTGAGTAAATTCTATCGATTATATCTGTATGGGGGACTCTACTCTTACTTAAAAGATTTAGGGTCTTGAGTCTAATGGCAGCTAAAGTTGCTTCTTGTTGTATATGTAGATGAAGCGGTGTTAGCTCCAGCATAGCCTCCAAAATAATGGGTGGAGACAGTAAAATCAAACGGGGCTTTGGACATAGTGAAGACCTTCGATCGGGTTTGGCATAAAGTACATTTTTCGAAGATTGCTTCCTATGGGATTCTCGAGAAATTATCACGTTTTCTTGTAGATCCAAATATTAAGTTCGTAGTGAGTGTTCTCCGACAACAGATTAAAAGTATTAATGCTGATGTTCCACAAGGCTACTTGCTATCACCTACGATGTTTTTCTACATATGAGATGTAAACCAAAACGAAAAATGCAGTAACATTAATTGATATGCAGGTGACTATACTAGTGGTGCTTTTTATAATGCTCCTGCCAATATATCTCGGGAACACTTCATTGTTCAGAGTGTCGGAACAAATTTGTGTCTGGAGTCAGTCTTTGTTAAAGTCTTGGATTGGGAACGGCTAAATCGCCCATCACAATAACATCACAAAATCTGGATGCTTTACGATTCACCACTGTAACATTTGCCAGGAGTTTCCTATCTCGCATAACATCTTTGTGGAATCGGCTACTACCAGTGATTTTACCAGACCTATTTATATTTAGGAATTTTTAAGAGCCTACTCCTTTTTAAAGGCCAGCTATATGCCTGCAATTGTCCTGGTGTTGCAGTTGTTCATAGGTCACGACAGTCACTTAACATCTCGTGAGCCACATGCTGCTTGTTTGCCTCCTGTAGAGACTGGCAGAGGTGAGTGAAAGCTCAAGGCAGCAGGATGAAAATGCTCATTTATTTTACGGACACGGCTACATTATAGTATTGTTAGACAGATTTGGTAGTATCTTGAATGTGTTTCTCTGCGTGATAAACTTAGAAAGGAGGACATGGCCCAACGATTGTAGGTAATTATTTCATGCAGGTAGCAAGAGTGAGCTGTGAAGTGGCATGGCGCATTCCCACAACCGTTGGGGAAAAAGGTTCTCGAGTGGCCTCGTACCGGTAGGCGAAGTGTAGGGCGACCCCCCACTAGATGGAGTGACGACTTGGTAAGACATGCGGGAAGTCGATGGATGCAGGTGGCTCAGGATCGTGCTTTGTGGCATACCTTGGGGGAGGCCTATGTTCAGAAGTAGACTTGTGAAGGGCTGTAATGATGATGATGATGATGAATGTGTTGTCCCTTTCGCACGGTATAAAATAACTCCGTTGCCTGTTTCCCTTCGTCGCTTCATACGGCGGTGTGAGCGAGTCATCTTGACGACTTGACGTTCTTCTCGCACGCGCCATATAAATATGCCTCGATGGCGTGCAGTGGTCTAGTACAGCGCTTTCGGCTCCTCGGGAATGAGATGCGTCATTGCTCCCATACCTCTCCTATAGAAAAACTTAGTATACTAATTTTCAACTATTCAAATTTTTAATGGTGATCATTGGTGCTGGTTGAACTATAGACTAGAGCTGTTATCTTTAATTTTTATTAAAAATTTTTACATGAATACTGTTCGTTGATCAAAATAAATAATAATAAAAATCAACTAAATTTAATTATTTTTACCACATCAATTTTACAAATTATTACAGACTAAAGATTATTATGATATAATGTATCCTGCATGGAGTTTTTGGGAAGGTGGACCAGCTATATCATTATATCCAACAGGAATAGGTCGTTGGGATCAACATAGGCTGTCAATATCTACAGCTGCTGATAAGTAAGATATAGGAATAGTTTTTTTTTAATTCAATGTAGATTATAAATGATACATACTCAAAGTCATTTTTATGTTTAATTTACTACTTACCACCTGGTTCGGAAAATACCTTGGACCTGGAAAGAGCTGATGATGATGCATCAGCAATCTTGGTTTGATCCTCGGTGCATATCAACGATCATCGGTATAAATTAAATTTTTGATTAATATTTTCAGTGCTGATTTACTATAATATTATGATCAGCTGATTTACTATAATATTATGATCATATATGTAGTGAAACTGTCGTGTGTACTTTTTTCATACTGATATAATCCATTACTCTCAAAAACAAAAGCAATTCAGCATCGATATAGGACAATACATTGTAATATTTATAATAAATTGGAAAGACATTAAAAATCATTTGTGGTTAAGAATTTTTCTTTCTCTTTTGATGTATGTGCATTGCTTCACTTGAAGTTTTTTTCATCGTGAAGTAAATCTGGCAGTGCTTGAAAACTCAGAAATTCTGGAGTAATTACGCATTGCATGCCTCTATTTATTTATCTACTTTTATATTAGGGTGAGTGGGGGGAAGATGAAAAACGGGGTAACACAAAAAGGCATCAATAAAAACAGATTGTGTAATTTATCCAATGCAGGCAACATTCGTAAGACCGCCATTTTGTTACGTCCCACACCTATTTCAGCACTTGTCGTTTTGAGGGTTAGGTTGTGTGTTATAAGGGAATATCTGCGCTGTGAATTTTACGCGAGCAAGTTGGGTGTTTTAACCTTACCCCGTGTCGTGTAATTTCATTTACGAGGTAGGTACGAGTTTTTTATTTGTATACATACTTATTATCTTTAATTGTTAGTTATGTTGCTGTCTAAATGTCGCTACTTTTTGTATTTTAGGATTTATTGTAACATTCCGTCTTTACCCGCCAATATTCGACGGGGTAAGATAAACATATAAAAGTTTCCATCTTGCCCCGTTTTCGAAAGTCATACTAATGGTCTCATGTTCTCAGTGTACCTAAAAAAATGTTTTGTTTTGTTACAGCCATTATATAAATTGTCAGCGGCACAATTTCAACTAATATTATCTAAAGGTATTTATTTTTATTTTTGTATATTATAAGAGAGGCAAAAAGAGCAAGGGGGTCACCTGATGGCTAAGTGATTTCACCGCTGTCCATAGATACAAGAAACAACAGGAGTGTTACTTGTGCGTTGCTTTCTCATATGTTATAGGAACAGGATTCGTAGGAATGGGAGCAGGAACTTAAAAGAGAAAAGACCAACAGACACTCGCTAGTAAATGCAACATCACAGTTCCTAGAACAATGCAACGTCAAATCGGTTTATCTAGCAAACGTCAACATTCGGGTGGCCTTAAGAAAAGGGGAAAAGGAACGGGCATCCGGAACTCTCACTCACCAGGCGAAACATGGCAGCCACTAAGAAGTTAACCACTCTATGCTGATGTTCTTGCTCATTTATGTGTTACAGTGAACTGTAGACGTGGATCCCCAATTTTTTTTATTAATGTAGGTATATATATATATACACACAATATGTAACATAATTAACGCACACCCTCAGACACAATTAGTATAATATGTTATAATCATAATACATACACTGATTTTTTAGTTAAACATTTTATGCACTGATTATTTATCAAATTAGTTATACTAATTCCGGAAGAATGTTGTGGTCACAGTACAAATCCACGAACGCAAAGACTTTAACGTGCTTGAAATAAATTTCATTTTTCTTTATTTTTATTGAATGACAGAATTAGTAATAATACAAATAAAACTGCACTCTTAAAAGTCTTATTGCCTTAAGTTACGGTCCATTTCAGTTTGTTTTCACTGTACAGATGTAGTGTGACTGTAATTTACGTAGTTTTGAATAAAACTATTATTTACGGATTTTATCGCGTTTAATTACTTTAATTTATTTTTATTATTATTACCCGACGTTTCGGGATAATAATAAAAATAAATTAAAGTAATTAAACGCGATAAAATCCGTAAATAATAGTTTTATTCAATGTGTAGTGTTCGCGCAAATTTAAGAAATCATTACGTAGTTTTAATTTTTTTTGGGTTAAAAAATTATCTATATTAAAAATGATAGGAATCGATTCAGTAAACGATTCTGAACAAACTACTTTCTCAAAGTGCGTTAATTATGTTACATGTTGTATATATTAATAATATTTTTTTTTTGGGCTTCCTAGGTGTTAAAGTGCCTAAAAGGGTATTTTCTGAACTTTTTGCTAAAATTTTTCTAAGATCTTATGTATTGGTTAGCTGTTTGATTTTGAAATATTTAATTTTTTACGTTTTGTGCTACATATTTTGTTGACGAAAATGGTAAAAGGTACATGTACGTAATTAAAACGTTTAAAATTATCTTGGCATTTACAATAAAAGATTTTATATGATTGATATCTTTCATTTTCTGTATAATCTTATCTAAGTAAAGTGAAAAGTTTGAGAACCTCTAGTTCAATCTTTTCCCGGTGGGGCAAGATTGAAATATAAAAAACAAATAATTTGTGTTATCTGTGTTATTTGAAGGTATTTTGATATTAAAGACAGTTCTGAAGTGTCAGGACAAAAGTTGTAGCCTACTGACCGTCAATATCGTCTGACATTAATTTGAACGATTTTAGAAACTACTTCGATCTTTCCCCACCACCCTTTCATCTTTCCCCATGCTTTTTTCTTTCGATAAAAACATTGAATTAAATTTTTTTGCTTTCGAATAAATATAACAGAGATTTATCGATATGATATAAAATATGCTCTTTGTACTTTATTTACTTTGTACTATAGGTATAATTTTAGCTTAAGTTAATATGTACAGTTCTACAAGACGTCAAACACAACACTGCTCATCTCATCAAAAAACCGTTCGATCTTCCCCCCACTTACCCTAAACGATTAATTTGCTCCGATCTTTATGGTTATTTCAAAATAAGGCTAGATAAAACTATATGCTTAAAAATATTTATATTTTAGGTGGCCATGGGAGAAAAAGGAACCGCGAGCCTTTTTTAGAGGATCAAGAACTAGTGAGGAGAGAGATGCCTTGATATTGTTATCTCGTTCTAGACCCGATCTTGTTGATGCACAATATACAAAAAATCAAGCTTGGAAGTCAGATGCGGTATTTCTTTTATTAGATACTTATTAATAGACATCATATTATACATGCAAATTTTAGCATAATACACACACATACATGCATGTATAATATATATATATATATATATATATATATATATATATATATATATATATATATATATAATACATATACAAAAATTTGCATGTATAATATAAAATAATATAATGTAATTGAATTACCGCTCATTTATACAATATTCGATCACGTGGAATATTTTAAACCTATTTTTTTATTATTATGTACTTATTAAAAGCGCATACCAGCAAACTCCCTTCAGCGCTATCACTTTTTCTTAATATTGTATTTTGTTTTGAAATCATCGTCATTTCTTTTGTATTTGTTTGAAATACTTTGGAGACATATTCCCGTGACGCCACCACGTTTTCTGCAATACCACCCGAAGGTATACCGTGGCAAGTGAAGAGCTAAAGCCGATATCCGTAAGCTCTCGGTAATGCAAAATTTACCGCAATAAAGACCGCATCGCCAAATCATAAAAGCGGCCTGTAATTCTCTCTCTTCCTGGCTATGTGTCCCACATGGTGGTGGGGTCAGTCTTTCTTACGCCTCCACTTCGCTCTATCCTCGACTTCATTTTCGGAGACTTCGCACTCTCTCATGTCCTTTACCACTACATCTTTCCATCGTGTTTTGGGTCTGCCCCTGGATCTTCGACCTGGGATGGAAAGTTGTAGTGCCAAGTTCCCTACGTAGTCGGGTGGCCTCCTCTTCACGTGCCCATACCATCGCAGCCTACTTACCTGCATCTTGTCAGCGATGTCGCGCACGCCCAAGCTTCCTCGCACGTACTCGTTGCGGATTTTGTCGAGCTTGGTAACGCCGCACATCCACCTCAGCATCATCTCGGCAACTTGCATGGTATGCACATTCTTTTGAGTTACGGCCCATGTTTCACTGCCATACAATAGGACTGGTAAAAGCGGCCTGTAACACTTGCGCTTTATTTCGGTTTGATACCGAACATTATCTTGATAGTGAATTCCATGTTAACATTCCATTTGTATTAATTATTTTTTCGTATTATCATTGTTCACAGGACACACTTTATGTACCTCCTGCAGCTGAAGTATCATTTGAAGAGCACTGCAAGTATAAATATCTATTTAACTACCGAGGGGTTGCTGCTAGTTTTCGGTTTAAGCACTTATTTCTGTGCAAATCTTTAGTATTTCATGTTGGAGATGACTGGTTAGAATTCTTCTATCCATCATTAAAACCATGGGTACATTATGTTCCTATAAGCCCAAAAGCCAACCAAGATGAGATTATTGAATATATAGAATATTTTAAAGAAAATGACTTCTTGGCTAAAGAAATCGCAGATCGAGGCTTTCAACACATTTGGGATAATTTGACAGTGAAAGATGTCAAATGTTATTGGAGAAAATTATTAAAAAGATATGCAAAACTCATCAAATATGAAGTGAAAAAAGATGTAGATCTGATTGCACTATAATCTAGTTTTAAAAAATCGTGTAAAATATTTTTAAGATATACAATAAAATGTAATATTTTGTATATGCTTTATTGTTTTATAATAAACACTTACGTTTTGCGTAGTCCGCGATTGTTGGGAAACCTATGGGAATGTGTTTTATCCTAGCTAATTATTACGGTAGTATGTACTTTTATTTCGTTATGAAGTATTTCGTATTTTTTTTTATTCCTCAATGGGAAAGTGCTCGGCCATCAATATCACCATCTTAAAAATATTTTAGGATTTTTATAACTGAAACAGAAACTGGATCTTTTCAATACCTTTGAAACTACATTTTTAGTGAATTTTAAATCTAAATCTATAGTACATGTAATTATCTATTATATATTTTAAACGAAGACGAAATTTATAATTGAAAATACTGGTTCACTTTTATGTTTAGAATAAGGGTGACAAACGTCCACCTGATGGTATAACGAAGCTGGCACATTTATCCTCAAATTAGAATCAAAGTGCAGAAGCGTTGTCACCCTGATAGGCCACAGACTCCACTTAACGTGGTGGATTGTGCTCATTTGTCTCCCTTATTCTATAAAAAAGACTGTATCCTGAACATGAGTTCCATAGTTGAAAGTAAAAAGTTCACCAGTATGAATTTGGTGGATAGGTATTTAATTATATTTAAAACAATGTTAGGAATTTACTACACTGTTTCCTCAACTGCGGAAGTTCTATACGCTTTTTGACATCCGTTTCTACTTGTTGCAAAAAAGTTTAATGCCATCAAAAACGTAACTTGTAAAAATCCAAGTCTCGCAACTCACTTCTTCTACCGTAAAAAGTTGTGAGATCCATGTAATCCAATAGAGATTGACTTGGCCATCCCATGAAAACACAATGTATCTCACAAGTAATTAGATTGTTTAGTGCGATTGCCAAGTCAATCTATTTATTTAAAACATAAAAGATTTTTAACATTGATATGGTCACTATAAGATTTTAGGTTAGCTAATTACGTAATAACTTAAAACACAAGAACCCTTAAGAGGCCGCATAATGCTGTTTTGGTGATATTGATCAATCTGGATCTCGGTATCTGTAAGACCTAACAGTTTGCTATTTGGACACATTAAACCTGGACTTATAATCTTCAAATCTGTTGAAGCAAAAACACGATTCGATAAAAAATTCTCGATAAAAAAAAAATATGAAAAACCCTCGTTTTGCACTTATTTTTAGTTAGATCTCTGAAACCTTATGGAATTGAATGATGATTTTTAGCTAATAGATAGATAATAATGTTATCTCAAATCGTGACGATTTATTTTTTTATTTTTCTACGTGGTCTTCTCGTAATTAGCAATTATGTGATTTGGCGCTTGCGTTATTTAATTCTAAACGAGCACACTCTCTTTCTGTCTCTTGTTTTGTACGTGGTAGCAATAGCGCTATCCTTTTCAATTTGTTCAATCATTCTGCTGCGGCATCTATTACGGGACGAACCTATGTTTGGCGACATTACGGAGAGACGACTATTTATTTCCGACATTTTTATTTTGTATTGTGGTAGGTGTTACTGTAAAAAGGAGTTTAAAACGTTTTGTGTAAATATATTACCTATATTTAAAGTGTAAATAAAGATGGGCAAAAAAGAAAACTCTCGGAAAAAGAAAACAATTAAAACGTCTAAGAGAACAACTCCGTATTTTGAACGAAGGAAAAAAAAAAGTAAGTACCTATCTAACTACCGATATAAATAACGGTATCAATTTAATTTTCATTTTTAATTTTTTTTTCTTAAAAAAACGTTACCCCCACTCTAGGATTTTCTCCTGTATCGTGGAGGCAGTTTACAAACATAAATTGCACGAGGACAAGCACCCTGACCCGGAACAATTATTTGTAGGCCATACAAATACTTGTTCCCTGCGGGATTCGAACCCGCGGCCCCCAGCCCAACAACTCATTGCTAAGCCACTGCGCTACGGAGGCCGTCAAATTATTCTTTTGTTTACGTAGCTTCTTAGGTATTTCGAATATGTATAGAGCCGAACACGAAGGATCGGTTTGCGAATCATTTTTCGAGTTTCAACCTTATTGCAACGAGATAAAGCTCATGTCTAGTGTCACGTCACGTTGCTGCTGGCTGTTGATAAAGTTTAAATTCGTTTGATGTGTTGCAAAAACGTTTTGTAATTTTATTGTTACATAAGTTTGTTTATGTTTATATAAGATCAATCGGGGTGTTATGATAGGTACCACTCGTAGTTTCTGATACCCACGATACAGGGAATAGGTATCACTGTGGGGTTAGGGATAGGTTTTGAATGTTGTGGGTTATGTTATGTTACTTTGACTGCCTCATTGGTCTAGTGGTTGTAGTAGTGCGACTGCTGATCATGAGGTCCTGGGTTCGAATCCCGGGTCGGGCCAAAATTTTTTTTTGTAAATAAGTTGAAATTTATAAAAGATCAACCGGTGTATTATGAGAGGTACTACCCGTAGTTTCTGATACCGTCAAGAAATTTTCAGTAGCTGCCCGGAGTCAGGAAGTTGGCGGTGGCCCACCTCCTTGTCTCGGAATGCACGTAAAGCCGTTGGTCCTGCACCTGATCTCTCTCCGGTTATGTCGGTTTACCGTCTCATCGGATTATGAGGGTGAGGTAATAGAGAGTGCACCTATGCTTGCGCATACATTTGCGCACTATAATGCTATCCTGCGTCGATGGCTAATCTCCGTTGAGGCAGGCCGCCGTGACCGAAATTTGGTCTGGAGAATAGTATGTTACTTTATTTTATTATGACTATACATTTGCAGAAAACCAAACATTTCATTCATTGAGCTTGAGAATGTGACGAATAAAACGGCGCCCACGGTATTAGAGAATGGACTGCACGAAGACGGATCGGCACGCGGCGCGAGCGACTCGAGCGGCGCGCCGGCGGTGCCCACGTCGTTGTCGGCGGCGGCGGCTGGCCATTTGGAACAGGGAAAAGGGGACTCGTCGCTATCTATTGACAGTACGGACAAGTAAGTATTTACATAAATAAATACATATAAAATAAATAAGTAAGTAAATTTTGAATCCCTGTTAGTATTTCTTTCTCTAACTGCCTCGTTGGTCTAGCGGTCGCAAACGCTACTGCTGAGCGAGAAGTCCTGGGTCGGGCAAAATGGTATTGGGTTTTCCATTAGTAATTTCTCAGTACCAGTCCGGAGTCTGGATTTGTGCTCGATTAGTGGCAATAGGCTCGCACTTTATTACATGAGACTTATAACATAAATGGCGAAATGTGGGTGCACTATGCACCTCTACCTACCCTTTCGGGGAATAATGGCGTAATGCTATGTATGTATATATGTATGTAAATTTTAATGAAACATGGTTCAATCTTTTCAACCATGTTTCATTATTGGAATGAAAATTTTACAATGCTATAAGTACTCGTATCCTACCTAAATGCGAAGACTTGGTTTATGAGAATCAAAGGTTGACCTAATACAAATGAATGTATCGATAATATTGTACTCGTATTTTTACTGACTTCAAAAATGAGTAGGATATTCTCGATCCGACGTTTTTAGGGTTCTGTACCAAAATGGTAAAAAAGAAACCCCTATGGTGTGACTTCTGTCACAGCCGTATATTTCAGAAACTACTAATGTTATCGACTTGAAATTTGGAGCAGTTATATACAAAATGCTTGGCTACTGTTATTGCTAATGAGAAAAGTTCAAAAATATTTTTATTTTCACTGCAAAAGGCACCGAAGAGGGGGTTTGGAATTTTAAAAAGTTACTAGGTATAGTATATAGCGTATATTATATGTGTAGTGTGAGTGACATTAGACGAACTGTACCTTTTCACTAATATATCCATAAATATCGGTTGTGCTTTGAATATGTTTTTTTTAAATGTTTTATATGAAATACATATTTTAAAATAAATTTAATAATATTATGATAATAATATCACACATATATTTTAAATTATAATAAAGAAAACAAGATTTTTGATGTAGATTTGTATTTGTATAGATGATGTAAATTTAATTGTGTAATGTCTCTGTCCTAGTCTGTCCTGATACTATAATCTGACATCTGTCCCCGCACCATGCTACAGCGCTAGCAATGTAGGTAAAGTGACATATTATATGAAAGGTATTTGGACATGGGAACGTATCGGAGCTATTCAAAGATATACTATTGTTTCAAAACATTCATGCATTATTATTATTGTCTGCTTTATAGTTTATGTAATAATATGTATTACTGTTGTAGGTTTCCAGACGAAGAGCACACGTCAGATAGAAATCATGCAGAAATCAATGAAGAATCAGACGAAAGAAGAATCATAGACCTTAAATATTTTCTAAAAGAATTAAAAACAATTTCGAACCACTCAACAGCCTTCGGTTGCGGTATAAATAATTTGGAGTTGATAGGGGAGAAAAGGTTAGGTTTGATTTCAAAATTAAAATTCAAATGCAATATGTGTAATGTTGAATTTACTACACATACGTCCAAACCTAGTCCAAGCGACAATTTGAATGTAAATACTGCCGTAGTAACGAGTGCTGCTATTACAGGTGTAGGATATACACAATTGCAAGAAATATTTACATCAATAAATGTTCCGTTTATGACAGAAGTTTTTTATAAGAAAATTGATAATCGAGTTAGTGAAGAATGGGAAAAGTTAGCCACAATTGAAATGGAAGCTGCGGCTGCTCGTGAGAAGCAAAGTGCATTGGACGAAGGCAGAGTCAATTCAGATGAAATCCCCGTCATAGACGTGATCGTTGATGGTTGCTGGGCTAAGAGGACCTACAAGAAAAACTATTCCTCGTTATCAGGCGCTGCTGCAATCATAGGTAAAAAGTTTGGGGAAGTGCTATATCTCGCCGTAAAAAATAAATATTGTTGCATATGTGTACGCGCCAAGAATAAACAAACTACACCATCAGAGCACGTGTTTTAAAAATTACACTGGTTCATCTACAAACATGGAATCGGA